GTTTGTTTCAGGCCCTGCTGGAGTGAAGGGCATGCCTTCCAGCAGCGCACCAATGTCCCTCGTTAACCGGCTGCCGATTTAAACTCTTCCATGTCAACAACTGGCTGTCGGATTATTTAGCCTTGCTCACGACTCTTGTCTGAAAGTGCCTGATTATTCGACACGTTCACGCCTCATAGCTTCTTGCCACGTTTTGCCCTCGTATTTTTTCATGGAAGTAGTTCTTGTTATTTCTGAGTTGGTACTTCTCGTGGATTGAATTTCTTTGTCCTTTGAGCAACAAGCAATTTACGTATCTTGTTACGTATCTATACTCTTATCTCTGCCTACGTTTGTGGAATCCAATTCTGTTCCGGAGCATTAGGGAAAACATGACAGAGATGGGGCTCATTGACGAGCACCTGGTGACCAGTTCTGCACTCTACGGGCCCAGCTGGGCTCAGCCCAAACGTACAATGTGGGTCCCCTTACCCATGGGCTCAGCACCTGTGGTCGGGACCAAAGTGGGCTGTGTGCCGGCCAGAGGCAGGAACATTAGCGGGCCGATACCAGCTCAAGAAGCTGGATCCAGGGAGGTGGAATGTCACCTCTCTGGCATGGAAGGAGCCTGAGGTGGTGTGCAAGGTTGAGAAATTCTTACGAGATATAGTAATGCTTGCCCCAACACACATCTTGGGCTTTGGTACCACTCCCTTCCAGAGGGGTTGGACTCTATTCCACTCTGGAGTTGCCCAAGTAGAGAGGCGTCAAGCAGTTGTCCAGATGGGATGCCTTTTGGATCCCGACCCAGACTGCATTCCCCCTGTTAGGGACCTCTGTAATTGGATATTTCCTCAGCAAAGTACTTACCAAGCAGATCTTTCATCTTCCTTCTTTCTTCTCTGCTTAGTTTCACACAGTTATCAGAGTAGGTGTCAGTCATGATCTATAAAAACAAACCAATTGAATTACGAACAAGCCAAATGTCTGTCGTCTCTCAAAACAGCTAAAAATCCACAGCCATAACTGGAACATTAAAGACTCCACATTGAATGCCTTTCAATAACCATTGCATTTGTACAAACCTGTTCACATAAAAGATTGAGGATGTAGGGTTGGTTGAACGTGTCTTTGGGGTAAAACACCTGAACACATTTGAAATACAAACAATACTTAGTGAAAAAGTGGGGGGAAAAAAAGACAGTTTTTCGAACAGTTAAGAACAGCAAAAATCCCTCTGGGTCAATTCCATTCGTGTACGAAATCGAACAAATCCCAATAAAGATTGCTTGCACTGTATCTCATGATGAACTCTGTTTTTCTTTGACTATGTTGAGCACACTTATGAAGCCAAGCAGAAGATATCTCAGACCAAAAAAAAAACGACTTAACTACTTTTTCTTGTTTCATGTATGAATGTGAGAACAATACCGATATGTGCCCTGCAATTGGCTGGCAACCAGTTCAGGGTGTACCCTGTGTACCGCCCGATGAGAGCTGAGATAGACTCGGGTACGCCCGCAAACTTGTGTGGATAAGCGGTTCGGAAAATGGATGGATGGATGTAACATGAAAGTGAATAAAATGGCATTAGCTGAAGCTCCTCTAAGAATGTTAGTGCCACTGCGTATATTTTACCTCTTTGCGCAGGAAGAGTTTTCCAGGCATTACGGAGAAAGAGAAGTAAACACCAGGGGAATAATGAGAAAGTTGAGAGTGACAGCTTTCGTCGTCTGGCATCATACCTAGGAATGGAAAAATGGAATCAAGGTAAGGCAAGGCAACTTTAGAACATGCTAACTCGACACAGGGAAGGCAGGACCACAACCTCGGCACTGTGAGGATAGGCTAACCAGTCAGTCACCATGTCACCCAAAAGTACAACATTTAACCCTTTCAGGGACAGCGGTTACTGGAGTGGACAGCTATTCAAATGTTGTTTTCTCTTATATTAATTCTTTTTAACTCATTCAGTACCAGCCAAGTCTGAAAAGACGTTTAAAAAACGTCTTTGGGAGTGAATGAGTTCATGTCAAAGTTGTGCATCAACCACTACAATGGTCCATGATGTGTGTTTCCATCCACTGCCGTTTTTTTCATGCCGAAAAACTAATAAAAACACTTAAGAAAAAAAAAATCCTGATATTGGTTATTATTATTTATGCACGAAAGGGTTCAAATCAAATTCAACCAGCCAATCAAACCCACCCCACCCAAACATTTTGTTTCATGTTTCTGGTAGAGAAGTTATGCTTTGTGACTAAACGTTGCAACATTTTGGTCGACTCACTCAGAGATGGTGCAAGCATGGTCGGTGGGTCCGGGATGTCGTCAAGTACAGAAGGTGGCGGGGAATCGGGGGGAGGTGGTAAAACCTGTCGACGGCGCTGTGAGCCAAACAAATCTTCTAGGGAGCGCTGCTTCTGCCTCATGTTATTAGAGATGACACGACGGCCCATTGTAGACGGAGGAGAAGACTGTGGGGATGGAGTGTGTGGGGGAGATTGCTTTTCCATTGGTGGAGATTTGACCCATTGTTTCTGCGATCAGCGAGGAGTGATCGTTAAATATTCATACTTTACCCTTGACGTCAACAATTCATCTTTTCTTACCTTTTTCTCCGGCACTGGTGCTTTGTTTCTGAGTTTGGCAAGAGCTTCCTGTTTGGGATCTACCTTCTTGACAAATTGCCTCGCAGGAGCTCTGTGGAATGATTAATAAGATTAAAATTACGAGGAATGCTTTTTTTTTGTTTTGTTTTTTTAAATGAAAAACAGTTTTGAATCATAAGCTTAACATAGGTTGAGCTCATCATTGGGTTTTGGGCTTCATCGTGCATCGGTGCCTCCGAATCTCATATGGAAAATTAGAAAGAGGTTATGAGGCCCTTCAGCCCACAAAAATGATAGCAAAGACCATTAGATATGTCTGCTGAATATCCGAGGTAAATTTCCATTTCTGAAGTTGTTGCATTTACAAAAATATGCGATTTGAAAAAAATGTTGTCTGATATGGCCTCCTAAGGATTTCATCATGGCTGAAAACCTCGTCAACAGGGAAACCTGACGCTGGCACGAGTGCAGTGGAACTGGGAAAGGTGTTTTTTTTTGTATGAATGTGGAAATGTTTTTAATGAATTAATTTCTGTGATTCATTTTATAAAAACAGCATTATACGGTTTTTATATTATATTGATGAGTTTAGTCCTTGTCTGGCTTTTAATTGAAATTTACCCTGTTTTAAAACATTACTGCTTTGTTTTGTCAAATGTTTACTCACTATTTAAAACCATATCTATGTTCATCATATATCTTCTTTTTTAATTGGGATTTTTAGCCCCAAAAGATACACAAGCAGAACATGCTTAGTCTGTAGAATATATCAATGTATATAACCATTTGATAACGATTTTCTACCGTTCTGTGACAAAAGTTGATGTGTTGTGTGAAAGTCAATGACTAAACAGTCTATTTTCTTTTGATTCAAATTTAGCATTCCGCACTATGCCGTTTTTCATCAAACTCAAATTTTTAAGGCCCTTAAATTAAATACCTTCATTGTAATGTTTGTTGCTGCCGATTTTAACAACCAGGCAAGGAACTACAGCCTTCTTAGAGAGTGCCTTTGTGGTTACCCACGGACCTCTGTGAGCGCTGTGGTGTGAATCAACAAGAGATTGACGTATCCCTCAATCACAGCGTCTGTACAATCTCTTCTTGGCTAATATTAATAATCCAAAATAAAAATTTCCATACCGGATAGGCTCAAAGTTTTTGGGTTCTGGTGGAGGTCGACTGTTGAACTTTTTGATGATTTCACGAATGTTGGAGGTTGGTTCAGAGGACGGCGGAGATGTTGTTGGACTTTCTGTTTTGCTGTCAGGCACAGGGATCCGCTTTACTACAGCAATTAGGAGACAACAATTGACAATAAATTAAAACATGGTTTTTGTTGGTCTTCTCTCAAAATAAAAAATGAACAGCATTTTTTCATTTTAACAGGAAAGAAAGATAAATCAGTCCAGTAATCCAATGAAAGGGAGAGTTTGCAGTGTTTAGCCTCACTTCATAGCCCCTAGTATAATGGCGCAACCCACTCAAGCGCAATTCTCAAACATGGCCACTCATGATGACATTCCATTATGCTTAGATGTGAGCCTGTGTAGGGTCACAGAGAACAGTGTCCAGCTTTAACAAAACTACAGTGCTAAACTAGCATTAGCACTGTAAACGAGCCATCGTTGGTTAGCCATGTACAGTAAGTAGCATGACTTATAAATAATAACGAACTTTAGCTGTAACACTACATTTTTTTGATTTGAAGTGAATTTTTTTTTCAACTGTACCAAAATAAAAAGGCAAAAAGTCGTGATAAACGTACCCGTTGAGCAAAAATGTTGCAAATTATGTAATGCTTCTGAAGCTTCTCAGTTCCCTGAGGTCACTTTGCTCTTCTTCTTTTTGTTACTTTCATGCGCAATTGCTAAACGAGGATGTTTTTTGTCCCCCCTGCCAGAGGTGGATATTCCAAAATTGTTTCAAAAACACTCCAGAAGCCAAATCTAAAAGTGTGTGGGTGAACGGCTCTCAGCTTGCATGTGAGTGCACTGTCAATCAGGGCTGCCCAACTTTTTTTGACCCAAGATCTACTTTTCAAGCAACCATCCTGCCGTGATCAACCAATGCACACGCGTGCACACGCACGCACGCACAAACGCATGCCACCATGATGAGCAACAGCCATAACGGCGCCTAACATGAACGAAACAGAAAAATAAAGTAGATAAAATAATTTGTGAGTTTGTGAACAGGAACTCAATGTCTACCTTAGTAGAGACTTTGCGCGGAGGCGAGGGTGCAGTGTACGCTAACACAAAAATCCATAATATTAATAACACGCACAGAAGACACGCAAATCTTTTTTTTTTCCCCATTTCCCCTACACCCCTCGCGATTGACTTGGGACCAACCCGTCGACTACCTGTCGACCATGATCAACTGGTTGGGCACCCCTGCTGTAAATGATTGGCACATTATTAGTCATGCTCTCTGTCTCAAATAGGTTGTTTTCCTTAGGTGTGGTGGTTTCTTTGGAAAAACAAACAAAAAACATCCCCCCCACCCCCTCTGCAAACTCTCGTTACAATATTCCATAAAGTTTTTTCAAGTGAGATGGATCCATACATTCCATTTGATTTGTGTTCTTACCCTTTGGTTTAGGTGCTACAGGAGGAGGGGACGGCTGTGCTGACGGTGCAGGTTGTTGCTGTTTGAATCCGGTAGAGGGAGAAACCTGGGTAGCCTCACCTTAAGGTTGAGAGTGATATGTCAGGAAACCAAGGTTGAATTTGAAATTTAGATGACTTTGCCCCCAACCTCCACCTCCCACCCCCCAAAAAAAATTACATGAAAATAAAAGATCTAATCCTTTTAATCGGTTTACTCACCAATATTGTGGAAGTACTGCCTTTTATCTTTAAAAGACTGCGGGCGATCTTGATTGCGTGAATCCACTTCCTGAGGGTGTTACAAACATACTATGTGTTTCTTATAGATTTTTGTTCATACATTCAATGATCTATTTTCTATTGTGTATTCTTTTCAGGAGCCTGTCCCAGGTGGTTTTGGATGAGACACCATTCCTCATTCCATTGTAACAACCATATTCATATTTAAACCTATGGACACGTTAGTCTTCAATTAACCGTACATGTGTCATGATCCTGTTCTTGTGTGTCTCCAGCAGGCATGTCAAAGTTGTGCATCAACCACTACAATGGTCCATGATGTGTGTTTCCATCCACTGCCGTTTTTTTCATGCCGAAAAACTAATAAAAACACTTAAGAAAAAAAAAATCCTGATATTGGTTATTATTATTTATGCACGAAAGGGTTCAAATCAAATTCAACCAGCCAATCAAACCCACCCCACCCAAACATTTTGTTTCATGTTTCTGGTAGAGAAGTTATGCTTTGTGACTAAACGTTGCAACATTTTGGTCGACTCACTCAGAGATGGTGCAAGCATGGTCGGTGGGTCCGGGATGTCGTCAAGTACAGAAGGTGGCGGGGAATCGGGGGGAGGTGGTAAAACCTGTCGACGGCGCTGTGAGCCAAACAAATCTTCTAGGGAGCGCTGCTTCTGCCTCATGTTATTAGAGATGACACGACGGCCCATTGTAGACGGAGGAGAAGACTGTGGGGATGGAGTGTGTGGGGGAGATTGCTTTTCCATTGGTGGAGATTTGACCCATTGTTTCTGCGATCAGCGAGGAGTGATCGTTAAATATTCATACTTTACCCTTGACGTCAACAATTCATCTTTTCTTACCTTTTTCTCCGGCACTGGTGCTTTGTTTCTGAGTTTGGCAAGAGCTTCCTGTTTGGGATCTACCTTCTTGACAAATTGCCTCGCAGGAGCTCTGTGGAATGATTAATAAGATTAAAATTACGAGGAATGCTTTTTTTTTGTTTTGTTTTTTTAAATGAAAAACAGTTTTGAATCATAAGCTTAACATAGGTTGAGCTCATCATTGGGTTTTGGGCTTCATCGTGCATCGGGTGCACACCTGCTGCCAATTTGATCATGTTAAGATATGTATTTAAGGACTGCCAAGATCCCATGTCTCTTGTCTGATTATTGACCTCGTTGCTGCTCTAACTCAAGTGTTGTTTTCTAGACTTTTTCGATCTCGCTTTTGCCTCTAGTTCCTCGGTAATAATTATGGATATAATTTTGTCTTTGATCTTGGGCTTGTTTTGTTTTCATGTAAGTGGACTCTTGTCATATCATTTACATTCTCGGCGTTGCGATCTTGCCTTTTGCAAGCGTTTCTTATTTATGACTTATTCTTCCTGGCGCCTTGTGACTAGCGATTTTTTTGTCGGTCGTTGGCGCTTTTTCTTGTAAATAAATATTTCTCTTACGGATTTTTGTTTGTACCTACGTTTGTGGGATCCAATCACCATTCAGTTTGTTCCCAAACATGCATGTTTTTCTAGATTAAACAATCAATGCAAACACCATTAAGACATGCAAATGCCACACAAGATGACCAGCCCAAACAGAATTTGAACTCACTTTACCACCCGCTATATATTTCTACATCAATACTATTAAAGTAATTATGACGCTTTAAAAAAAAAACACGTCATTCATAATCGGACTACATATTGGCAATATGTGTTTAAATTCATTTGATGATAATGTTAGTTTTGGTCCACAGTTTTTGCCTAAGCCTTAGGCAAATGACTAAAAAGAATAGGAAACCTTAGGCCCTAAGGTTTCCCGTTCTTTTTCCAACCTCCACTGCATGTGTTTACATTATGTGTCCAATAAAAACAAAATCTTGAAAGCATCTAAATGTTTGCGTGATAGTATTGTATTGGTTCAAAACCTGTTTTTGTGACATAGATAACAATCACGTTATATCAATTTAGCTGTAATCCAGCTACAGTAATTCCAAAGGGTTTCCATATTTTTTGTGGAATTGTACTGTATTTTGCAAGGTGAGGTCAGCAAGCTCCCACCTGCAATGTAAACAGTGAACGGGACAAAGTTCCTTCCTCATAAGGTTTTGGACAGTTTGTCAAAATCTCTTCGCAGCTCCCACACCAGGGAGATCAGGTGTGACTGCACGACCAAGGTTCAAGGGTCTGAGGCCTGATATGCACCAAAAAAATCTCCCTGATGATGGATTCATGTGGCTCTTTTTTAAATGAAAAACAGTTTTGAATCATAAGCTTAACATAGGTTGAGCTCATCATTGGGTTTTGGGCTTCATCGTGCATCGGTGCCTCCGAATCTCATATGGAAAATTAGAAAGAGGTTATGAGGCCCTTCAGCCCACAAAAATGATAGCAAAGACCATTAGATATGTCTGCTGAATATCCGAGGTAAATTTCCATTTCTGAAGTTGTTGCATTTACAAAAATATGCGATTTGAAAAAAATGTTGTCTGATATGGCCTCCTAAGGATTTCATCATGGCTGAAAACCTCGTCAACAGGGAAACCTGACGCTGGCACGAGTGCAGTGGAACTGGGAAAGGTGTTTTTTTTTGTATGAATGTGGAAATGTTTTTAATGAATTAATTTCTGTGATTCATTTTATAAAAACAGCATTATACGGTTTTTATATTATATTGATGAGTTTAGTCCTTGTCTGGCTTTTAATTGAAATTTACCCTGTTTTAAAACATTACTGCTTTGTTTTGTCAAATGTTTACTCACTATTTAAAACCATATCTATGTTCATCATATATCTTCTTTTTTAATTGGGATTTTTAGCCCCAAAAGATACACAAGCAGAACATGCTTAGTCTGTAGAATATATCAATGTATATAACCATTTGATAACGATTTTCTACCGTTCTGTGACAAAAGTTGATGTGTTGTGTGAAAGTCAATGACTAAACAGTCTATTTTCTTTTGATTCAAATTTAGCATTCCGCACTATGCCGTTTTTCATCAAACTCAAATTTTTAAGGCCCTTAAATTAAATACCTTCATTGTAATGTTTGTTGCTGCCGATTTTAACAACCAGGCAAGGAACTACAGCCTTCTTAGAGAGTGCCTTTGTGGTTACCCACGGACCTCTGTGAGCGCTGTGGTGTGAATCAACAAGAGATTGACGTATCCCTCAATCACAGCGTCTGTACAATCTCTTCTTGGCTAATATTAATAATCCAAAATAAAAATTTCCATACCGGATAGGCTCAAAGTTTTTGGGTTCTGGTGGAGGTCGACTGTTGAACTTTTTGATGATTTCACGAATGTTGGAGGTTGGTTCAGAGGACGGCGGAGATGTTGTTGGACTTTCTGTTTTGCTGTCAGGCACAGGGATCCGCTTTACTACAGCAATTAGGAGACAACAATTGACAATAAATTAAAACATGGTTTTTGTTGGTCTTCTCTCAAAATAAAAAATGAACAGCATTTTTTCATTTTAACAGGAAAGAAAGATAAATCAGTCCAGTAATCCAATGAAAGGGAGAGTTTGCAGTGTTTAGCCTCACTTCATAGCCCCTAGTATAATGGCGCAACCCACTCAAGCGCAATTCTCAAACATGGCCACTCATGATGACATTCCATTATGCTTAGATGTGAGCCTGTGTAGGGTCACAGAGAACAGTGTCCAGCTTTAACAAAACTACAGTGCTAAACTAGCATTAGCACTGTAAACGAGCCATCGTTGGTTAGCCATGTACAGTAAGTAGCATGACTTATAAATAATAACGAACTTTAGCTGTAACACTACATTTTTTTGATTTGAAGTGAATTTTTTTTTCAACTGTACCAAAATAAAAAGGCAAAAAGTCGTGATAAACGTACCCGTTGAGCAAAAATGTTGCAAATTATGTAATGCTTCTGAAGCTTCTCAGTTCCCTGAGGTCACTTTGCTCTTCTTCTTTTTGTTACTTTCATGCGCAATTGCTAAACGAGGATGTTTTTTGTCCCCCCTGCCAGAGGTGGATATTCCAAAATTGTTTCAAAAACACTCCAGAAGCCAAATCTAAAAGTGTGTGGGTGAACGGCTCTCAGCTTGCATGTGAGTGCACTGTCAATCAGGGCTGCCCAACTTTTTTTGACCCAAGATCTACTTTTCAAGCAACCATCCTGCCGTGATCAACCAATGCACACGCGTGCACACGCACGCACGCACAAACGCATGCCACCATGATGAGCAACAGCCATAACGGCGCCTAACATGAACGAAACAGAAAAATAAAGTAGATAAAATAATTTGTGAGTTTGTGAACAGGAACTCAATGTCTACCTTAGTAGAGACTTTGCGCGGAGGCGAGGGTGCAGTGTACGCTAACACAAAAATCCATAATATTAATAACACGCACAGAGACACGCAAATCTTTTTTTTTTCCCCATTTCCCCTACACCCCTCGCGATTGACTTGGGACCAACCCGTCGACTACCTGTCGACCATGATCAACTGGTTGGGCACCCCTGCTGTAAATGATTGGCACATTATTAGTCATGCTCTCTGTCTCAAATAGGTTGTTTTCCTTAGGTGTGGTGGTTTCTTTGGAAAAACAAACAAAAAACATCCCCCCCACCCCCTCTGCAAACTCTCGTTACAATATTCCATAAAGTTTTTTCAAGTGAGATGGATCCATACATTCCATTTGATTTGTGTTCTTACCCTTTGGTTTAGGTGCTACAGGAGGAGGGGACGGCTGTGCTGACGGTGCAGGTTGTTGCTGTTTGAATCCGGTAGAGGGAGAAACCTGGGTAGCCTCACCTTAAGGTTGAGAGTGATATGTCAGGAAACCAAGGTTGAATTTGAAATTTAGATGACTTTGCCCCCAACCTCCACCTCCCACCCCCCAAAAAAAATTACATGAAAATAAAAGATCTAATCCTTTTAATCGGTTTACTCACCAATATTGTGGAAGTACTGCCTTTTATCTTTAAAAGACTGCGGGCGATCTTGATTGCGTGAATCCACTTCCTGAGGGTGTTACAAACATACTATGTGTTTCTTATAGATTTTTGTTCATACATTCAATGATCTATTTTCTATTGTGTATTCTTTTCAGGAGCCTGTCCCAGGTGGTTTTGGATGAGACACCATTCCTCATTCCATTGTAACAACCATATTCATATTTAAACCTATGGACACGTTAGTCTTCAATTAACCGTACATGTGTCATGATCCTGTTCTTGTGTGTCTCCAGCAGGTGGCAGTGGAGGGGTTCTCCTCCAGTGTGCACACCTGCTGCCAATTTGATCATGTTAAGATATGTATTTAAGGACTGCCAAGATCCCATGTCTCTTGTCTGATTATTGACCTCGTTGCTGCTCTAACTCAAGTGTTGTTTTCTAGACTTTTTCGATCTCGCTTTTGCCTCTAGTTCCTCGGTAATAATTATGGATATAATTTTGTCTTTGATCTTGGGCTTGTTTTGTTTTCATGTAAGTGGACTCTTGTCATATCATTTACATTCTCGGCGTTGCGATCTTGCCTTTTGCAAGCGTTTCTTATTTATGACTTATTCTTCCTGGCGCCTTGTGACTAGCGATTTTTTTGTCGGTCGTTGGCGCTTTTTCTTGTAAATAAATATTTCTCTTACGGATTTTTGTTTGTACCTACGTTTGTGGGATCCAATCACCATTCAGTTTGTTCCCAAACATGCATGTTTTTCTAGATTAAACAATCAATGCAAACACCATTAAGACATGCAAATGCCACACAAGATGACCAGCCCAAACAGAATTTGAACTCACTTTACCACCCGCTATATATTTCTACATCAATACTATTAAAGTAATTATGACGCTTTAAAAAAAAAACACGTCATTCATAATCGGACTACATATTGGCAATATGTGTTTAAATTCATTTGATGATAATGTTAGTTTTGGTCCACAGTTTTTGCCTAAGCCTTAGGCAAATGACTAAAAAGAATAGGAAACCTTAGGCCCTAAGGTTTCCCGTTCTTTTTCCAACCTCCACTGCATGTGTTTACATTATGTGTCCAATAAAAACAAAATCTTGAAAGCATCTAAATGTTTGCGTGATAGTATTGTATTGGTTCAAAACCTGTTTGTTTTACATAGATAACAATCACGTTATATCAATTTAGCTGTAATCCAGCTACAGTAATTCCAAAGGGTTTCCATATTTTTTGTGGAATTGTACTGTATTTTGCAAGGTGAGGTCAGCAAGCTCCCACCTGCAATGTAAACAGTGAACGGGACAAAGTTCCTTCCTCATAAGGTTTTGGACAGTTTGTCAAAATCTCTTCGCAGCTCCCACACCAGGGAGATCAGGTGTGACTGCACGACCAAGGTTCAAGGGTCTGAGGCCTGATATGCACCAAAAAAATCTCCCTGATGATGGATTCATGTGGCTCTTGGGGCAAAGTGAGACTGGGGCCCAAAGGTGAAGCTGTGTACCATCAGGTGCTACCCTATTCGCTCTCCCAGGGTTCAAGGTGAGACACTGTCTAGTCCTGATTCACACCGTTGATGTTTTCACAAAATAAAAATCAAATAAATAGTACCAGTCATAAACTTTTGGAATAGCAGATGCGAATAATTCACGTGTACAGTTACTAGTAGTCATGTAATTTACCTTCACCGAACTGTGTACCATCAGGTGCTACCCTATTCGCTCTCCCAGGGTTCAAGGTGAGACACTGTCTAGTCCTGATTCACACCGTTGATGTTTTCACAAAATAAAAATCAAATAAATAGTACCAGTCATAAACTTTTGGAATAGCAGATGCGAATAATTCACGTGTACAGTTACTAGTAGTCATGTAATTTACCTTCACCGAAAGTGGATTAGGCTGCCTTGCAGGTTGAGATTGGGTGGAAGTTGTGAGCGTTTGTCTCTGCTGCTCTTCTTGCTTCCTCTCCTGTTCCCTCAACCTCTGCTGCTCTTCCCGCTTCCTCTCCTGTTCCCTCAACCTCTGCTGCTCTTGTGTCTGCTGCTGGGACAGAGTCATTGCCTGCATAGTCATCTGCTGCGCCTGCGGAGAAAAACCAGGGGTGGGTGGGAAATAGAGAAAATGAAAAAAACAAAATAAATGATGTGGTAAAACACTAAAAGTGTGTTTATTCAAACCATAAACATCGCCTGCTGGTTGATGAGGGCTTGCTGTGTGGCTGCCATTTGCATGGGGTCAGTGACTGAGGGAACATGAGGCATCATCATGGCTGTGTCGACGTTTGGGTAGATAAAGTCAGTTTAACAATCAATTGAGAAACAATTTTAGAATTGAAATGCTAAGACAGTACCTGGCATAGTGTGCATGGCTGTCATAGCTGGCATCATGGGAGTTGCGCCATAGTTTGGCATTGAAGGGCTGACTGGCATTCCTAGACATAAACCACAATGAGGCATTAGGATGAATGATGAACACTCAACACATCTGTAAGCCTAACCCTGGAGAACGTGACACCAAAACTTCAATCAGGCTATGAATTATGGCAGGTGTATGAAACTTTTTTTCATCATTAGCCATATGACAGTGTGGAGTCTTAATTGATTTTAAGATCTGGGTTTTCTGTTCACAGGCAGTACAATACGGGAACACAATCACTTACCGAATAACGCATTTTTTACACTATAAGGCGCTTCAGATTGTAAGGTGCACCTTCAACGAAGGGCCTATTTTAAAATGGTTTTCATATATAGGGCGCACTGCATTGTAAGGCGCATAGAATACAAGCTACAATAGTGGTTGCGCTTGTGCTGTGGATCCACTAGATGGAGCTACGCTAAAGGGAATACAATACAATAGAATACAGCTTTATTTATATCGAGCCTTCACAACCGCTGCAGCTGTAACAAAGCAATGAGAACTGGTCACAAACACGGACATGAAACATATACATACAAATAGCATTACAAAACAATAAATGAAAGACAAAAATTATGACGACAGCTGATTCAACAAAAAGGCACACAAATCTCGTGGGCTCACAACCGCAAAGGTCTAAATATCCTGAGAAGTCTTGCTTGTCTCCTTCTTCGTTCGTTTAGTCACTAGTTAACTATGCTTTTCGTATCATCTTCATTTCATTATGCTGTGCAGAGTTCACAAACTTTTGTTTGAGTGCGTGTTGGCGAATGCACATGTCAATTAGTGTCGGGCAGAACCCTTTCACGTTACAATTGGTTCCTGCTAACAATCACCACTAGATGGTACAGGAACACTGACAGGAAAACAACTCATTGGGGAATATAAAGCGACTGGAACACCATATATAAGGTGCATCGGATTATAGGGCGTACTGTCAGCTTGTGGGAAAATCAAATGATTTTAGGTGCTCCTTATAGTGCGGAAAATACGGTATTGTATGTGTAAGAATCCATAAAATCACCATATCACATTACATTGTTGCAACTGCATTTAATCATCATTTTATGATGAATAACTAATTGTAAACCCAAAAGAAAAAGTGAAGCTGTCATGGCCTGGCTCACAGGCTGGATATGGCCCATGGGCCTTGTTTGACACCTGTGTTTTGTGGTCTTCATTTACTTACCCATGGGATAACCTGACATCAAAGTAGGCATACCTAGAAAACAGAATGATGAGCTCTGATTACATTGAATCAGTTCATTATAACAGGAGAGTGAAAGCAATGACTTTTTTTCAAATAAAAACATGGAAGTCTATCAACATTGAGTTGGGAAGTGGCATTCATTTGCTTTTCCACCTTCAAGAAAAATCGGCTCAGGAGTGCCCTCTTACAAATCTTTGAACAGTGAGACCCCAAAGATATATTCCTTGAGCAATACTACAGTTGTTATATCATGAATAGACCCACAAAAAATCATAAATCTTTTGTCTGAAAAGACACAGGGAATTGGCCATTTTGGTTTGAACTGGACATTTTAAGGTTATTTTAGCCATTCGCAAGGGGTCCTTCAAAGCCAAATTGTCTTTGAGAGTCAGATTGCGAGCAAATGAGAGCCACAAAAACTCAACAAATGGACAACGGTAAAACATTTGAATTTTCGTCAGAGTACAGCAAGTCAAGATGTACATATACTTGCCATTAAAAACAGCATATTTGATAAGTCACATCTGTCATTCAGAAAGTGAGTCGGATCCTCACGTGATAACATAGGAACCGGCGATGGAAAAATGGAATTGGAAGCCCATTGAGCAGCTGGCTGTTAGGTCAGCGATGCTTAAAAGCAAGAGAAAGACAATGCTTTTTGTCTTGATTTAATTGAAAGTGCCCTGCCTAAATGAGTAGTAAGGTAGGGCGCACAACAATTTCCACACAGTTGGAGCCAGACTCAACTTGTTGTCTTAGCTTACTTGGAGACCCTTAGTTGCTCAAATTGAGTCAACATGAGAGAAAAGTTGGGACAGATTTCAGCTCCAAAGCAAGACCTGAACATGATATATAGTAAAAATGATACAAGATTCAAATTGAGACTTTAAAACTCATTAACTTACATAATGTTATAGTAATTAATTTTGGTTTTCTCATAATGGGTATTTATCATGCAATAACTTATGGTCTGCAGATCAGTCCTGTGGATACAGAGTTTTCTACATACCAGAGCTGTATAAACCAGGCTGCATTGGTCCAATACCTCCTCTCCCTCTCATCCTGCGGTTTAGCACAGCCACTCTATCCTTGTCCTACAAAAAAAAAAACAAACAAATTTGTTGGTCATATCTTTGCATCGTTATTCTGAGTCATTTTAAATATTTTATTTATACTGAACATACTGTAAGTGTTTAATTGTCTCATCGTATTATTACTTGTACACAACAAATTGATGGATTACTAGTTTTGAAATCAGTCAACTGTAAAAGTTTGTTCAAGTGAGTGGTAACAAAATTATTGCAAAATCTCAAATTTATTTATGACAGATAACAATTTGACATTTCGGTACATATTTCCGCAAGGATCTTGGAAGTTGACGCACATGGGGGCTCCATAAAATGATGTTGGGGGCTGGATTTGCCCCTGGGGCTTTGAGTTTGACACCCATGATTTAGAGTGACTAATTAACCTAAGATACATGGTTTTTGAAATGTGGGAGGAAAATGGAGTACCCGGAGAAAGCCCAGGCAGGGATGGTGAGAACATGGGACCTGCACACAGCAAGGCCTGGAACCTAACCCTGGACCGCTGTACAGTGAGGTGGACATGCTAACCAGTCACCAACTGGGTCGCCATTCTTTATTTATTTTTTTGTTTATTCTAATAACAATTCTGATGTAAATAAAAATTGTGAACGTGTAAGGAAATTGTTGTTGGTCTAAATATGTTTGTATGGATTTTTTTATTTTATTTTATATTCTTTACATATACTAACCAATTGTCCTTGGTCCAGGTCAAATAAGTCATCAACATATGCATCCATCTGTCGACGATGGCCTACAGATAAGAAAAAAGGATGATAAACTGAAATTAGTTATTGAATGGGTACGCAGGGTGAAAGACATTGTTCACTGTTTGAAAGCACAGTCTGAGACAACCCACCAAATATTCATCATTTGTTGATAATACCATTGGAGAATGTTGGAACATGTTGATATTTTTACTGAATAAATCTGCTATACCTTCCTGTGGATAGTCGCTTCCCGAAAGGGTTCTGTGAAAATGAGAAACTCCAGGAGCTTCAATGGTAGGTGCTGGCGGAATGAAGTCATCGAGATCTGTGACTGGTAACCTTTGAAAATGACGAGTGAGAAGAGAAGCATTCGATTTTTTCGTTGTTGTGTACATTTCTAAAGCCAGTATTCCACTTGAGGGGCAAAGTTTTGCAAATGTTCGTGAAGGTAGCGAATGTTGATTTATTTAATTTTTTTTGGTCAGGTTTTGTTCAGGCTCCGGCCTTCCTGTGTGGAGTTTGCATCTTCTCCCCGTGCCTGTGTGGGTTTTTTCCAGGTACTCCGGTTTCCTCCCAATTCTAAAAACATGCATAGCAGGTCAATGGAACACTCTAAATTGTCCCGAGGTGTGATTGTGGGTGCGAATGGTTGTTTGTTAATGTTTGGCCGGCGATTGGCTGCCAACAAGTTCAGGGTGTACCCCGCTTACAGCCCGAAAACGGCTGGGATATGCTCCTGCACGCCCGCGACCCTTGTGTGGATAAAGCTGTTCAGAAAATGGATGGATGGATGGAGGTTTTTTGTTCAAGGTCGCAAACAGTTGACCGACATTGGCCAGACGTTTGTCAAGATTTTGAACGGTCACAAACAGTTTTTTATGTTGCCACGAATATCTGAACATTTTTTGCGAATGTCTGGCGAACGTCTGTGACCGTTTGCGACCTTGAACGAATCCTCCGGAAAACATCACAATTAACTGCATTTGCACTCGCAAACCTTCGCCGCTCAGTGGGATAATGTGTTTAACGGACAATGTAAAAAAAGTAGACTTATACCGCTCATCCTGGGCACTGAATAGGTAATCAGAATTGGTCGATAAGGGCGTGCCTGGTGGCAGTACTTCTGCCTCAGCACCAGCAAGCAGATCCATGACAAAGTCTGATCCAGCCAAATCAGACCACCCATCATCAGTCAGAAGAGACACAGACCATCCCTGTGTTGCTTCGATCGCACCTCTGAAATATTAGTAAATCATTTACTGAATACATGTACAGTATACTTATACAGTACACTGCAAGTATGTACATGCAGAGACAATGAGCTGTCAAAATACTGATATGAAGCACCTGGCATGGAGAAGCCAGGAGGCCAGCTTTTCTCCTGTTGTCCAGGACTCCACTTCAACTGTGAGCTTCTCTTCTAGAAATGAGCATACATAGCATTTCCACTGGAGATGTCACAACTGACTTGAATAGAATACACTTTGTGATTTATTCAAACAAATCCCTTGGATAAAAATGAAATAGACCTCTTCCCAGCATTTAGACGATTTTCATTTTTGTAAATAGCAAATGAACCCTCTTGAAATGTTTCTTCCTCAGGAAATTCATGTTCCAAGTCAATTTGAGCCATTATGTAAATGTCTCAGAAATGGAAAATATCGCAATAAAAATTGTTTACTCAATATTTCAATTACTCACCATTTCAATCAGTAATTACGGTTGATTACACTTAAAGTATAAAGCCACAAAACTATCCATCAATCAATTATTTAAGGCTGATAGGAGGCAGCAGCTTCCCTCTCCCCAGCCACTTCTTCCAACTTTTCATGGTCTCTCTAGCGCACTGGTTCTTAACCTTGTTAGAGGTACCAAACCCAACCAGTTCATATACACGTTCACCGAACCCTTCATTCATGAAAAATAAAAATATATTTTACAAATTCAAGACATTTAAAAAAGACATTTATTAAAAAGAGAAAAAAGTAAATAAAATGACATGGCATAAGTATAGGTTTTTTAAATTGTATCACATACAGTTAAACCTCGGTTTTCGAACGTCTCTGTTCTCGACCAAATCAGTTTTCAACCAAATACGTCGCGTTTTTTTTATGCCTCGGATTACGACCGAAAATCGGTTCTCGACCAAACTGAGCGCACTTGAATACGCCACTTGACTCCTCTCGGCTTCCTTACACGAGGAAGTGACGCTTCCTCGGGTAGACGAGGAAGTGACGCTTCCTTGTGTAGCGTTTCATTGTGAGCAGACGTGTTCAATAAAGATTTTTTTTTAAAAAAGAGCGTGGTTTCGGTTTTTGAACAAATCAGTTTTCGCACACCCTTCTGGAACGGATTATGGTCGAAAACTGAGGTATGACTGTACTCTCAGGACAGTCACACGGTGACTACTGAGCGAAATAAATTTCCCACAGCACTGACTGGACAAGCAATGTAATGTGATCATCTGCAGCCAGCGATTGCCAAGCAGGCGTGTCATAACTAATTCACATCTTGACTCGGGTGTGTCTTACCCTCCATGGCAGAGGCTCCGTCGAACCCCTGAGACCGATTCACCGAACCCCTAGGGTTCGATCAAACCCAGGTTAAGACCCACTGATCTACCATATCCAGGGTGATGCCCGAGGCTTCCTGCCAGTGGGACATGCCCGGCCCACCTCAACAACCCTTATTCCATGGCTAGTCCTGGTATTCACTAAAAACAGCCGAAATAATTTGCTTTTTTGCCTTTACTGAGAATGGCGAGTTTTGATATAATTTCAAGGCTTAAAAAAGGTGGCGCAAGTGCCATTTATTGTTGCTTGCAAGTGACAATTTCGGGGCGTGCCTAAAATTGGCACTTGTCTTACCGTTGACTGTATATACATCCACAAGCATTGTGCCTTTCCTTCTGTTGGCGGTCCATTCCAGCTGAGTTGGGGGATAAATACGGGAAGTGGGTGCTGGGAGTTGCATGGATATGAGCAGCTTGTGTTGGCACAGTGAACGGTACTGCATGGGTCCGTAGTCAGAAACATACCTGAATGGGAAGTATGAAAAAATACTTTTTAGATTTTTTTTAAGCTCGCCTGCACAATTTAGACTGCAAACATGAATAAAATTAAAAGACGCAACTCGTTTAAAGTGTAACTTTAGGTCAGTCAGTCTTCAGGGAAGAAAATACAGTATTTCTGATTCACACAGAACACAGAACAGAGGACACTAAACATCAAAATCTTGATGTGAGTCTTGTTTGAAAAGTTCCAGCGATGGGACATTGCGAATCTCATCCTTGTTCCTATGACTCTTCTACTTCCTGCCAGTAGTACTTCTTGATTTTCTTTTTTTCCCAGTAAGTTAAGACTTTGGGTTTGAAGTTTCTTTTGTTTCCAGACAAGTCTTGTCCAGTAAAGAAAGAATCCCCTTACCTTTCTGACAGTTTCGGCTGTCACTTCAGCCCTCGTCAGAACTGTCACCATGTCCTATGATGTGTCTTAAAACAGCGGATTGGCTCGGAAAAATCCGTCAAGCTACACCCAAACCCTTTATATGGATGTGTCCTCTACGGTGATCTGTTATGTCTGATTTCTTATTTTCTTGTTCAGCTTTCTGTTTGCGTGTCCTGGTGTATTGTCCTGTTGTTTCCTTTTCGCATTGTTTGGTGTTCTTTTTTAATTTTACGGGTGTTACATGTCTTGTATGGTGTTGTCATGGCCAATATCCACAATCATGAGCAATGTTTTCTTGGAGGAAATGTCCTGGTGTATCGTCCTGTTGTTTCCTTTTCGCATTCTGTTTGGTGTTCTTTTTTAATTTTACGGGTGTTACATGTCTTGTACGGTGTTGTCATGGCCAATATCCACAATCATGAGCAATGTTTTCTTGGAGGACTTGGCAACAAAATCCATTCAAACTGCACCCCCGTAATATACTGTAAACCTATAAGCTGAAAACAAGATGTAGACAGATTCAAGATGGCGCTATAGTTGGCAGCTGTTGGCAAGGGCTCTTCTTGCATTTTGTTGTTTGTCTTTTGTTATCTGGGGTTTGTTTTCTTTCGGGCACGTCCGCCTCACAGGGCAGAGGTGCAGGTTTCGATTCCAGCTCCAGCCTTCCTGTGTGGAGTTTGCATGTTCTCCTCAAGCATGTGTGGGTTTTCTCTGGGTATTCCGGTTTCCTCCCACATTCTAAAAACATGCGTGGCAGGTTAATGGCGCACTCTAAATTGTCCCATGGTGTGAGTGTGAGCACCGATGGTTGTACATCTATGTGTGCCCTGCGATTGGCTGCCAACCAGTTCAGCTTGCACCCCGCCTACTCCCTCGAAGACACCTGGGATAGGCCCCGGCACGCCCCGCAACCTTTGTGAGGGTAAGTGTATCAGAAAATGGATGGATGGACTCAAAAGAGGTGTCATAAATGCCAACATTGATGTCATCTGGGCAGCCGTCTGACAAACCGAAGAGGAAGACCATGACATAACAGCTTACTGGTCTGGCAAGGATTAATCAGAGCCACTTTCATGGCAAATAGAAAATCTGATGTGATCAGTTCACATTTTGCAGGAGAGCGATGTGGCCGTTAAAAGTGAGCAAGATCAGAATGGGATGATGGGAAAGCCAACGTGTTCATTAGAAAGTGGCTATGACTGTCAAATTGCCTTTCCGAAAAAGGCCATTTTTTTGCACTGCCTTTACCACTGCCGCTAAAGGCTCCACGCAAAAAAAGCTCCAGGCTGGCGCTGGAGCTGAGAGAGTCAAGAGACCAGTCAATAAAGATCACCATTGCTAATTTCCCCACTGGCCAAAGTTGGAATGCCCAAACTGAAGAGAACTGAGCTATCAGCAGGCTGCAGCACCAAGAGCTCATGGGCAAAGTTTAGGGTCGGAAGATCAGGGCTTGGATGGTGACAACCCACCACAGTTCTGGACTAAAGCTAATAGCAACAACAAAAACACAACAGGCCAAGGGAGACACAAATGCCGTTTTCCCCTAACCACCAGTAGGAGATGAGGGTAGACCTCAACAGGCATCCCCAGTTACCCACCACATCTCTCCTCCCAAACATAGTAGTATGGTTCACTATGGTAAGAGTGGGGCACCTAATTAAGCTTACAGGACCAGCAAAGGAAGAGATCAAGGCTGCTTTTGAGTGGCAGCAGGACAAGAACTCAGAGCTGGCGTCATCAGTGTCTTGTTCTTTTATTCAACTTTGAATGACGTTTACCATCTTCTTACATTGACATTGCTTTGATCGAGCGTGTCATTGTTGTTTTTTGTGGGACAAATGTTAATTATTCCCAGGTTTACTGTTTTAGGCAGGGGTAATTCTTCATGAAGTAGTGTGAGGGTTGGATTACTTTGGTTGTATGCAAAATAATTAAGAGCAAATTATGAGTTACCCCCATTGAGCAAACCTCGCTGCATCATGGCATTCATGCAATCAGCCTATGGCATTGTCCGGGAGTTATGGAAGGCCAGATTTTCTTGGGGCTTGCTGTCATCTCTTCTTTGTTTTGGAATTTGGTGGCCCTCATTTTCCTCTTGATAATACTCCATACATTTTGGTCAGCACTGTGATGGCATGGGTATGAAAGCAGGTTTTGGTGCTTCTGACGGTATCGACAAGGAGCCAGGTCCTGCTGGAACTTGAAATCTGCATCTCTAATCAGATCCTCACCAGAAGGAATCATGAAGTTCTCTAAAACATTCTGGTAGACTGTTGCAGTGACCTTGGATTTAAGAAAGGAGAGGGTATTGGACCCCAAATCCTGGCTGATTGTGGATACTTCACACCAGACCTACAGCAGCTTGGGTTACATTCCTCATGTGACATTCTCCAAACCCTTGGACCTTGATTCTCGAATGAAAGGCACACTTTACTTTCATCAGATCAGGGGATCTAGGAACCATATCCAACAGTCCAGGCTCAGAAGTGATTGACACAAGGTTCCCAGTTGTCGCCCATTTACCGGATGCGTCTGAATGTGGTGGTTTTTGAAGCAGTGACTACCGTCCCAATCAGTGCTTTCCGAATCTCTGCCAAATTCTTTAATCTTCCCTGTTTAATAATCCACTGGAGCCCAAGGTCATCTCTTTTGCCCGTGAATCTTCTCTTGTCACATTTTAACCCCCCACTAGAAATTCAACTGATATGCTTGGACACAGCACTCTGAACAGCCAGCCTCCTTAGCGCTTCACCTTGCTTTACTTGAACTTTGCAATGCTTTGGCCTTTATTTTCTGCACCAGTTAATGTTGCAACAATCAGCCCCACACAATAATCGGTCTAATGCTTTACAGAGAGTTGCAAAAGGTCTTTGCGACCCAAAAAAAGGACAACACAAATGCGCCACCTACTTTAGCAGGGGTTTTTCTAGTTCTGCTGATGGAGTGAAGGCACAGAGGCAGCAGGCCAGCAGCAACCAGCCTTGCAGGCTGTGATGTTCATTACCCAGGCCCCATGTGTGGTAAACCAACTGGGCCAGGATCTCATCCCTCAAGGCAGGTCGGTTCTGTCCTTTCTCAATGATGTAGTTTCCCAACAACTGCTCCTCTGAGTCGCTGAGGTCTGACTCACCTGTGAATCGCATGATCTAAGGAAAAAATGTTTTGAAATTTGTAAATAATGAGCGCAACAGATGAATTACATTGTGGTCCTTCCTATACCAGTTTATAAATTTCCAGCGCAGTGCGGGCATCTTCTGGTCCAAGAGGGGTCAGAGCTCTTTGGAGGGGGGTTCCCTGAGGTTGGATCCATGTGTCCTGTGGAGAGATTTTGTTTTTAATTAAAGGGGAACTAAACAACCATTTTTTCTTTGCACAAACAAATTGTATGTGCCACCATTCAAGAAAACACTGTCCATTCATCCATTTTCTTACGCTTAGATGAGCTCCTGCCACAGGGATGGCAGCTTTAGCAGGAAAGCCCAAAATTTCCTCTCCCCAACTAGTTTGTCTAGCTCTTTCAGGGAAATCCCAAGACGTTCTCCCCCCAGCCGGGAAACACAGTCTTTCCAGCGTGTCTTGGGTCATCCCTGAGGCCTCCTCCCGTTGGGATGTGCCCAGAACACCTCATAAGGAAGGCCTCTATGAGGCATCCTCACTATATGCCCGAGCCAGTCATCTGGCTCCTCTAAATGCGAAAGACGCTGTACTCTCAGGCCCACCATGATGACCAACCTTGTCACCCTACCTCGAAGGGAGAGCCTGGATACCCTGCAGAGGAAAGTAATTTTGTCTGTTTGTCTCTGGGATGTTGTTTGACCCACAGCTCATGAACACAGGTGAGGGTAGGAACGCACATCGACTGGTAAGTTGAGAGCTTCTCCTTTCGGGTCAGCTCCTTCTTCACCACGACAGACTGATGCAGAATCCACATCACTGCAAACGCTGCACCGATCTGCCATTTACCACTCACATGTGAACAAGACCTGAAGATAAAGGGCTTGAACAACTCCACTTGAGACAGGATCTCATCCCCAACCTGGGAAAGCCACTGCACCCTTTTCCGACTGAGAACCCTGGACTCAGATTTAGAGGTGCTAATTTTCATCATAACTCCTTAACAATTGGCTGTGAAATGCTCGAGTGAGAGTTGAAGAACGCTCTTTGATCAAGCCACCAGTACCACATCGTCTGCAAAAAGCAGCGATGCAATTATGAGGCCACCAAACCAAAACCCCTCAATGCTTCACCTGCACCTAGATATTCCGTCTGTAAAAGTTATGAACAGAATTGATGATAAAGAGCAGCCTCACTGTCCAACCCTCACTGAAAACAAATCCGACTTACTACCGGCAATGCGAACGGACTTTTACATCAGTGGCACAGGGATTAAACAGCCTGTATACTCCCGAAAACACCCCCAACAGAACTCCCAGAGGCACATCGTCGACCACCTTTTCCAAGTCCACAAAACACATGTAGACTGGTTGGGTGAATTTCCTCGAAGCCGTCAAAACATGCGGCCGCAAATCCGATGATGCGATCACAAAATCAATCATTTTAAGTCGTTAAGCTTGCATGACCATCTGAGTTTTATGTTATGTGTTGTGTTATATTATTTTGTTATTTTATGTTAACTGTTTTGTAAAGCGCTTCGTTACAGCTTAAGCTGTTGTCAAAGTGCTACATAAATAAAGATGCATTGTATTTAACTGCGGCCAAGGGTGTCTTTGTGTCAAGTACACATATGAACACCCTCATGTTTAATTACACAGTGTTCGTGATGGACGATCCGTGACAAGCACGAAAGTTCTACCACAGAACACCACTCGGGTTCTGATCAGGGGGCTGGACCTCCAAATCACGCTTTTCCAGGTCTCACTGTCATTGCCCACATGAGTACTGAAGTCCCCCAGCAGAACTAGAGGGACCACTCTCCAGCACACTCTTCCAAGGACTCCAAAAAGGGTGGGTACTCTGAGCTGCTGCTTGGTGCATAGGCACAAACAACAGTCAGGACCAGTACCCCGACCTGAAGGTGGAGGGGGATGACCCTCTTGTTCACTGGCGTGAACCCCAATGTACAGGCACTAAGCCGAGGCGCAATGAGTATGCCCACACCTGCTCTGCGTGTCTCACTTTAGGCAACTCCAGAGTGGAAGGGAGTCCAACCAGTCTTGAGAGAACTCGTACAAGAGCCTAGGCTGAGTGTGCTTAACACAAAGGGTTAGAAACTTGTATTTGAACCCACAACCTCTGAACTGTGTGCCTCTCCACCGGGCCATGGTTTTTTTTTTGTTTTGTTTTTTTTTTCCCATTTTTATGTTGTGTGTGTTTTTTTGTGTTTCTGCATCTCACTGTTGTGACTTGAATGCACTTACTACTTTTCTACATCGAATAAAAACAATTTCATTTGACTTGAACAACGCTACAATGCAGATGGGCAAGGGGCAGAATAACTCATTTAGGGGGAAATTTTATCATGATGCAAAAACTGGTGGCTATGTAATACTTTAGTCCATATCCTCGAAACAGCAATTTGGTAAACCTTGCAAAGAATCCACATTTTCCTTAAGCATGAGAAATGTTCTGCTGTGGTCAGATCGAGTATCATAGGGCCAAACCAATAGAAAAAAGGAAAGGCAAATCAAATGGCAGACCAAGTAAATGATTAATTCACAATGAGGAAAAGATGGTGATGACGTAATACTTGGCAAACAAACATACAAGCAGGGCCGAGAGGAATGAAAAATCTCAGGTATTGAAAAGTAAATCATTTGTGTGCGCGTGTTTCCGTGTTACTGACCTTTAGTATGGACTTGGCGTAGTGAGAGAATGGGTATCTGTCTACATCTTGAGGCAGAGTGAGGTTGTGTGTTGCCTTTACTTGCGGAGATGCAACCTCCGTCACTGTTGCCGAGTGTCGATATCCTGTTTGAAGGAAGTACACTGCAATTACAACCTGTCCAAACATCATTTTCCGGATTGTTTTCTTGAAGATCACCTGCTGCCCTCCGAAACCTTGCCGACAGTTCGGCAGGGATCTCCAACATCCCCACATCCTACCAGTAAAAATGAGATCAGAGTACAGTTAGATATTGGGGGGACACCAGCAAATCATATTTTACCTTTTTAGAGCAGAAATTGTCCTTTTTGTCTTACCATTGTTAAAAAGACTGAAGTCTTTTTCTTTTGGGGGTGTGGGGGAGAGGTCTGGAATTAGCTACAGAGATAGACAAACAAGCACAGAATCAGGAGACAGTTTTAGTCAATTCAGATGCCTCACATACCAGCAAATTCACCAGAGAAATCAATTGGTGTGACTATGTCAGTCCAGACATTCTGCTCGGATGTATTCACTCAGCTCTCCCCTGAGATGAGTGAATACATATGAGCAGCTTGGATTGTCGTCCTGACACACCCGCACACATGCCTGGCCTTTGTACAATAAGATATGAGAGTCCAAAGGTCCAAATCGTCAGGGTGGTTTCATTTATGCCGAGTTTTCAGATACACATATGGTTTATTGGTTTGTTCCACCATTCCAAATTAGTCATCGGAAAGCAGCAGCTTCGCCTCGTGAGAGGTGCCGAGCAAGGTGGGGTTGTATGCCGGTGTTCATCTCGGTGGATGAGAGGGTAGCCTTGTCCTGCCTTCGGGTGAGGGCATGGTTGCTGACTGTTTTTTTGGGCCGAAGGTTAATGGAAGACATTAAATTGTCCCTCGGTGTGCGTGTGAGCGCAGATGGTGGTTTATCTCTGTGTGCCCTGCGATTGGCTGGCAACCAGTTCAGGGTGTCCCCCGCCTACTGCCCGAAGACAGCTGGGATAGACTCGACCCTTGTGAGGACAAAGCAGATCGGAAAACGGATGGATATTCGCCAAATAACAGCTACCCACCCTTTTGTGAGTCCTTGCAGGGCGTGTCGTACTCAGCTGTGACAATGAAAACACTTGTTTCTCTATCCCACAAAGTATTTGTCTGTTTCATACTCTAAACTGTTTTTGAAGCACCTTATATCTTTATATCTATTGGTAGTACTTACTACGGGCGCTCACATCTTTTAAATTGAAACTGATGTTCCAATTCTAAACATTTTTTGTTGTGAATTTTCACTCTCAGCCTGTGTTGTGAAGTTGCTGTTGTTGTTTTTTTTTTTTAAATATATATATATATAATCCATCCATTTTCTGATCTTCTTATCCTCACAAAGGTCGCGGGGATGCTGGAGCTAATCCCAGCCGTCTTCGTGCAGTAGGCGGGGGTATGTCAGCCAGTCGCAGGGCACACATCGACGAACAACCATCCGCACTCACACTCACACCTAGGGACAATTTAGAGTGTTCCAGTAACTTGCCATGCATGTTTTTGGAATGTGGGAGGAAACCGGAGTACCCGGAGAAAACCCACGCAGGCCCGGCCGCAATATATAATCATCCGCAAAATAAAACACATGAAAGATAAACAAATGACTTGATGGCTGTCTGAGATATGGCATTCAGATTTTAAAAAATAATAAAAAATAAAGTATGGCAGGATAATTTAGCCCCACAAATTTCTCTTTTCATTGAGCAACACCAAATGTCATTCAAATAACACGGTAAATCAACACAGTGACATGCGGCATAAACCCAGACTATCGTTGCGTCTTCCATGTCATTCTGTGGATTATTTAAAGGTGGTGTCATGCCCAAAAATGACATACAGTAGAGCGTAAAGGAAATTTTCTTGAAATACATTTAGAGAGATTCAAGCGTGACAGGAGGATGAACATGAAAATGAATTTGCCGAATCGGTTGGTTGAGGACAAATCTAATCAAATTTAAGATCGTAGCATTTCATGGCACTTCCTATTGAAATTCTTGTGAATAAATATTCCATCTTTGACAATTAGTCATTTCATGTTGAAATTTACATTGCTTGGTTGAAGGTTTACGTCTGTTCTAATGAGCTATACTCTTTCGGAGCAAGCTGGACATATTTCATTTATTGATATAAATTAAAATAGGCTGACGGTACAAAGGCCTATTTTGGATCATTTTTGGCCAACGCATTTTTGAATTGGGTAAAAAAAAAAAAACAACAACAAGCAAAACATAGATATGTACAAACCTGTTCGAGCCGTGGAGCTAGAAGTCGATGACGCTCAGGATCCGTTGTCGCTTAAAATTTCACAATAAGAAAGGGTTGAAGTCCAAAAGTGGAGGACGACGAAGGAAGAGGCAGGGTGGAAGGAGTGTGTATACTTAAGTGACGCAGCCAAGATAAGTAGCTCCTTGAAGAATGTGATATGGTTTTACACAACGGGCAGTCACATATGTTGTTGCTGAGGTGATATTTATCAAATATTTTGGGAGTCATAAGGTTTGGGTTTGGGTTAGTTTTGGCTGGCTAGAGAATTAAAAAATAAAAAAACAATTGAATTATTTGAAGTAATCAACATGACACTTTCGGATAACAGATATTCAATTTGGTAAAGTTCTTGAGAAACAAATTGTTGTTTTATGCGATTTGTGTGATGATGATTTTCAAGGCATTTTGGTTGTGTTCAATGACTATAGTTCAGATTTGCTCAGATATTAAAAAAAAATAGATTTCCTCAATGTTCATGTTTTGCTTGTGTTAAATGTGTTTCACTCCAAGTAGGGGTGAAACAACTCTTCAAATATTTGGTGTGTCTCAATTATAAAAAAAAATATTACACAATGGCATTTGTTTAGTTCATTACCGAGCTGACAACCTTTTGGAAATTCACTTTCATAACAATTTGCCCGAATTATTATTTTTTTTAACCTACCTCAATATGTAATAGGGTAAAATATTTATGTAGTGTTCAGTAAGTCATGGTTTCAATATTTGTTATTGTAATGTATTTATAGCGTCAACCTTGCAATGGCGCACACAGTTGAAATCAGAATCAAAGTGTAGGAGATTTCAGCGTGCCATCGTCAAAAAAAACCAAAACAAAAAAAATCTGTATCCCTGGACGAATGAGCCAGTTTTCAACTGTCGTAAAAAAATCAAATCTCTTAAATCAGATCTCAAAAGCCAAAATTTTAACTCAGCACTCTATTGTGTAAACAAACTAACATTGGTGACAGACTGGATTAGATAAATTAAGGTCCGACAAAAATTTTGGTTTCGAATTGGCGCAATGGACTTGCACAAATGTTTTCTCGCATGCATGTTAGTGTATCCACTACTGCTCATGAAACAATGCCATTTTCATGTTATAAATATTCATTTATATATTTTTAACCTCATGGGCCTACCATTCTCTTGGCTGATTTTGTGATGTTTTTCTTTTTAACACCAGCTGGAGTGTTGGGCGTGACCGTTTAGCGGTGCACCTGTGTCTCGTTAACAATCAAGCTGCTGTTTATTTAAGGACTCTGACTTCTGATTATCTTTGTCAGATTATTGACCTTGATGGCTGTTTATTCCCAAATGCCATTTTCTAGACCTCTTGCTCATAGTCGCTTTGGTCTAGATCACCTTTTGTTTCATAAGTATACTTTTGAATGAGTTATTTTGGGTTTGTACTTGGTGTTTACTTTTTGGGATGCACTTTCTAACCGATCTTTGTTCAGACCTTGTCAGATTTATGCGGCAATGTACTCGGTCATTACTCACCTCAACTCAACTGTATTTGTAGAGCACTTTAAACTTTAAAACAACCACCGCTGTGTATAAAGTGTGGTACATGGAGCAAAAATAATTTATACAACAATAAATTAATAAGACACTACAAAGCAAGAAAACAGTAAAACTAAAAATCAAGTCTCATGCTGAGTCAAAGGCCAAAGAATAATAAGGGAGGTGGCACTTGGAATAAAATCTTATCTCGTCCTCTGGTTGTTTAACTAAAAAAAAATATATATATATATATAATTTGGGGCCACAGTAGTTGACTGTTTTTGTATGTCCACTCACATTCCAAAAACATGCACGGTAGGTTATCTGAACACTCTAAATTGTCCGTAGGTATGATTGTGACCGCGAACGGTTGTTTGTTGATGTGTGCCCTGCGATTGGCTAGCAATCAGTTCAGGGTGTGCCCCGCCTACTGCCCAAAGACAGCCGGAATAGGCTCCAGTGACACCCGCGACCCTTGTGAGGATCAGGACATCAGAGAATGGATTGATGGATGTTTCAAATTTATTGAGAATCTAAAATACGCATGTTCTAATGATCATAAATTTGTCATTTAACTATAAATGGGTGGATCGTCAGGGGGCTTGATTTAAAAACAACACCCAAAAAAAATGCATTGACTGAAAAAACGGTGCATGTAAACAGAATTGTTTATTTTTGAAGAGAGGACTGTGGCGACTCATGTGTTTCACTCTGATGGAGCTTGACTTGTTGGATCAGCAACAGCAATCGCAGTTAATGATTTTTTTTTTTTAACTATGTAGAACTTGATCGGCAGTCGCAACAAATGTCCAAGGTTTCAATGATGTCGCGATGTATCCATTACAGTGCCAGCAGAGGATAATAAATGAGAACTAAGGAAAATTCAACGAGGTCTCAAACATGAACTAAACAACTTTTAATAAAATTTAAAAAACTTATACTTATGTCTTGAAATCTTATTGCCATTTTTCAGTTTTTAATAAATGCGTTTTTTTATGTCTTGAATTTGTAAAAAGTCATATTTTTGTTTTTCACTAATGAAGGGTTCGGATGAAAGTGCATATGTACTGGTTGGGTTCGGTACCTTGAATAAGGTTAAGAACCACTGATCTAGTGCATTATGAACAAGGCAATTTGATTTAACGATTCAAGTTGTTATTTGTTGATATGAGCTGGCGATGTAGCAAACCAAGGCAATTTGCAAACGGTACTTTTTTAAATGGATGTTGAAATCACATGACGATTGTAAAATGCACCACCATCGAATGGAGACAACATAAAAATACAACCCCCCCCCCAAAAAACAAACGCAGGTCAGGGGTTGAAAGCATGCTATAATTAATCACAACAAAACTGCAAGGTGATGTCACAAAATAAAAATGGGCTGAATCAAGTCACTACAAAAATATATTCTCGAAAGATACCCAGTATTTTGCAACAAATTACCAAAATATTATTGTACAACCTAAACATCAGTTTACCCCACATAGGAAAGGCCCAAAAGGTAAAAATCAAGTCACATATGGTATACATAAAACAAGATTGCACTACGATATCTTTCAAATCACATTCATGAATTACAATATACATGGACAGAAGTTATTGTTTTGTCAAAAAAAAAAAACAACCCAAAAAAAAAGAAAAATACACAGGACAAATTCCCAACCCCATAAAAAATTCTGACAAGTACAACACTGTTAACTGCATTACAGCTTTGTCATTGTGACATTTGACAAGTTGCACTAAGTGAACAAGAGGTGGTACTAACTGATTAAAAAAAAAAATAAATCATGGTGGTTGAGATCCATGCACAGCCATAACTGCCATGTCATTAATTCATCCTACAGAATATAAAACCAATTAAAGCCAGATAAAGGAAAGGCAAACCAAGGAACGATACATTTTCTCAAACTTCATCCATCCAAATTACGACAAGATATGAGATCTCTTAAAATGCAACCATTAACCTTAACAACAAACCAAATGCATTTAAGTTAACGTGTACTAGCTGCCAGTGATTAAGGCTTTCCTATTTCAAGGAAATGTATGCATTTCTTTCACAGTTTAAAACAGTTCGCAGAGTGTCAGAACATGTGCGACACGCTTGTGTCAAAAACGCCCTCTTTTACGAAACCCAGCTGAAATCAGCTTTTTTTTTTTTTTTTTGAGGGGGCACTATCCTGTCTCACGCAAATTTATTTCAACTTTTTTTTTTGTAATCCAAGTTCAGTAATTCAGAACACATTCTCATTTGCAATTCTGAACTGGACGCTGACAGCAGAGTAAAACAAAGCAAATCCTAAAAGTCAATTGACGATCGTATCCCTTTTAAACAAGCTCGAGTGGTATTCAAATTTTAAAAAGTCATCACGACTAACAAGGCATCCAGCTTGTGAGACACTGAAAACTCAAGTTTTCTGTGTGATAAAATCTGGCACTGGAGTTGCAAAAAGACGAAAAAAATTGCATTGAAATAAATGGTTGTTTTCGAGTTGATGGTCATCCCCCGCAAGTGGTGGCGCTCCTTCAACTTTTGTCTTCAAAATAGGCGAGACCTCTCTTGAACCGGCACTCTTAGCACATGCTACTCCGGAACATTTTGGTCAAGACATGAGAAGGGGGCCCTGAGAATCTTTGAGTTCATCAGTCACAGAGCGAATGTAGTGGTTCTGAAAGCCGAGGCCATTGCTGGAACAAGCTGATCGGATGGTCAACAATCTGAAGATAGAGTGAAAAGTCATACTTTTTTTTTTTTTTTTTTGGTGGGTGGTTAGATTACCATTTTTTCTGCACTATAAGGCGCAACTAAAAGCATTCAATTTTCCCACGAGCCGACAGTGCGCCCTATAATCCGATGCGCCTCATATATGCACGCTTGTGTTTTTGCGTCTGTAATCGGCAGCATTTTTCACAGCGCCATTTTGTTCAGCGGAGATGCCAGCGCTGTTGCAAAGTCTGCGTCGGTGCGGCTGGATGGATGGCTGCTGGAGTTGAGGATGAGGAGATAGGAGCATCGGCGTGGATGCGTATTTGGACCTGAGAGTCGCCGCTTGGAATTGAAGCGGATTTTCATGGGACTGGAAATATGAGCCAATCTCTTTTTTCATCAATGGACGCAACAGCTTCTTGTTTGCTCTCAAACTTAGCTTGTAGTGCAGACGTGTGCACATTTTCAGCATGACGTCTCTGATCCACTGGTGAAAGGACACTTTGATTCGCTCCTCTTTCATCTAGAACTGCTACAATCAACAAAGTGTATGCAGAAAATGTGGTTAAGATTGCATGACTGTCTGGGTCTTATGTGTTGTGTTGTATTATTTTGTTAATTTATGTTAACTGTTCTGTTGATGGTGGCGCGGGTACCCGCAGCGGCTCCTCTCTCTCCTGTGGTTGCACTGTGGTTTCGAGGAAAGAAATTTCATCTGTGCTGTATGTTGCACATCGAGCATATTTGACAATCAAGTTGACTTGACTTGGTGTTCGAGTCACTTTATATTCCCCATTGAGTGTTTCCCTGTTAGTGTTCCAATGCTATCTAGTGGTGATTATTAGCAGGAACCAAGTGTAACGTAAACGGGTTCTGCCCGACACTAATTGACGTGTGCATTCACCAACACACACTCAAACAGACAACTACTTTGTGAGCTCTGCACAGCCATAATGAAACGAAGATAATACCAAAAGCATAGTTAACTACCATTTGTATTTATGTTTCATGTCCGTGTTTGTGACCAGTTCTCATGGCTTTGTTGCAGCTGCACACGGTTGTGAAGGCTCCATATAAATATAGCTGTATTGTATTGTAATCCTTTAGCGTAGCACCATCTAGTGCAGGGGTCCCCAACCGCCGGTCCGCGGACCGGTACCGGTCCGCAGGGCATTTGGTACCGGGCCGCACAGAAAGAACTTGCCTTATTTCCGTTTTATTTATTTTGGAATACGAAAGATGTTTTATTTTGAAAAATTACCGGATTCTTCGTTACATCCGTCTGTGTCGTGCTTGACTCACGTCTGCCAAGCTTCTCGGTCACGTGACTGATGGCGCTCAAAAACAAAACGCTGAAGCCCGCGAAATGAGTAAAAAAGCTGCTTGGAGATCGCAAATGACGGCGGCCTTAAAAGTACGTTCGAGACAACTGGATTAAAGTTATGGCTGAATACTCTGAGATCGCCACAATAGCACTGCTGCTATTTCCGACATCCTACCTGTGTGAGGTGGGGAGTTTCTGCAGCAACGGCGACTAAAACAAAATTACGAAGTAGACTGGACATAAACCACACACTCGAGGTGTCATTGTCTCCTATTACCCCGAGATGGGACTGTCTGCAGAAAATCAAGCTCGGGGCTGTGGTGAGTCGTCATTTTCATGCACTTTGAATTTGCGTTGTATCGTATTTTGAAGGCATTAAACATTACCGTCGCGATAAGAGTGTTGCGACCAGATTAGACGCTCCTTGTGTTTATTATGATATTTCGAAAACACCACAGTTTTCATGCAGCTCATACCATATTATTTTGTTGTATTAATCCGCCACACCTTAAATGCCGGTCCCTGAAAATATTGTCTGACTTAAACCGGTCCGTGGGGCAAAAAAGGTTGGGGACCCCTGATCTAGTGGATGTGTAGCGCAACCGCAGCCACTATTTTTGCTTCTATTCTATGCGCCTTATAATGCAGTGGGCACTATATATGAAAACCGTTTTAAAACAGGCCATTCATTGAAGGTGCGCCTTATAATCAAAGTGCCTTATAGTGCAGAAAATACGGTACAACCCAACAGCGCACACATTAACTGTCAAAGGGAAACAAACATTTTATGTGCAAAATTGGTTTATGCTTGTGGAACGGTGGCAAAATGATACTGGAAAACTAATACTGTGTCGGGCTAAACAGTTTTCGTGTTTGTTGAAAATGAATTGAAGTGCAAAGTTCAACGGCTAATGGTTAAGCATGACACGATGACATTGGCGAATAGGGCTGGGCAACATGGCTGAAAATTGTTTTCATTTTATATCAGTACTTCATAACAGCCGGTATTTATGATTATTGCTTTTTTTTTTTAACAAGTCAAAACAACACAAAATATTACATGGATAAAAAGGCAACTATCGTAGATTTTTCATGGGCACATGCATGAATTTGCTGATTTTTATTTATTTTTTTAATTCTGGAATATTTGTTGTTGCTGACAAAGTTCTGATCCACACGTTCACCCATTCATAAGAAATTGTGAAAACTAGTGGAAATTTGAGTATTTACCTGTCAAGTTGATTTGTGATTTGTGTGTGCCCCTAAATTTTCTACTTGCACTCCTAAAATTTCCAGTTCGGTGTCATTGTGCTCATAAAAAAAAAAAAAAAAATTGTTAGTCTGGAGCCCTGTGGTACCCGAGGGGCTGTATTCAGATCCTCTCGTAAGTAATGGGAGTAGGTAATGTGTCACGTACCTAAACATGGTCACCTTCCAGTGACTTTTGAATCTCATGCAGCACTTCTGTATGGAAAAAAAAATCACTAAACTATTCACTCATTCATATTAGGCAACAACTTGCTCTAAAAATATTTTATAGAATGGATGCAATGTCAACTATTTTTTTCCTGACAATATTGCTCATAGTGTTTTCCGATTATAGAAGAAAAATGCTTGCAGATAGAAGCACATGGCAGTTAAAAAAAAGCAACTCTTAGATGATTGACAAACATCTTTCTTCGACATGAGTACGGTACACTCACACACACACACACACGCACACGCACACGCACACACACACACACACACACACACACACACACACACACACACTGAATATACATACACATACATATATCAATTTACTCACTCTCATCATTCAGCAAAGCATGCTCCATCACACGTCTAGCAGAAATATCTGGAACACACACAGGTAGCAGTGAAGTGAGCACAATGAGCCGCAGGAGCGAGAAAGCGAGACTAGTAAGACAAGAAGTTATTTCCTGGAAAAGAACACATGCATGTTAAGCCTGCTGATGTATTACAAGCATAAGTCTTTGTTTTACCTGAATCCTCAGCTTCTTGGCTGGTTTCCCTAGGGTAGTGTTCAGAGAAAAGAAATTTAACCCTTGAATTTATTGGTGAACTCCTCAATTAAATGATCAAGCAAACCTGTAGGCAGATAAAATTCCGTCCGGCTTTGGCCTGCTTTGAATGGAGGCATGTGAGGAAAGTGGAACCTCCACAAGGCAGCAAGGCTCCACGAGGAAACGACTGGACAGTGAGAAGCGCTCAAACTCAGACGGAGAGATGAGGTAGAAACCTGAGGAGAGTCAACAACAGTGTTGTCACAGTTACCTTGAAAGTGTAACGATTACTTAATCGATGACTTGATTTAAAAACTAACTCGCTTAGATTACAAATTAATTTTTTACCTACACTCAGCAACTGGCGACAACACACAAAAATGCCAACCAGTTTGCCAATATTTTTCAAGTGCATTTTTGATTATGGTTTTATTGAAAATAGTCTTGATTTTACTTAACCCTTTCATGACCCTGTAACCTGATAACATGATCATCTGTCCACTTTCGTAACCACTGTCCCTGAAAGGGTTTGAACATAAATCGGCTCTTTGATTTTATGGAAAATGATGAGTTGTTCTAGACTTCACACAAGTACTTTTCCTTTCATAAAATACAAAATAGAGGCAGCCTTGTTTTGACCTGACAAATTCAACTGTTAATACAGAATGAAAACTAACATTTATAGAGTCCTTGGTTGATAACTGGAACTACTAAAATCTTCTTAGCATGTTTTATGAACAGTGAAACGGATGTTAATGTTCACAGCATCACTGCAGCAAGTAGTTTTCAAATGCATTTGACCACATAAATACAGTAAAAAATACGTTTTAGGTGTTTTTTATTAAAATATATTAATAAAGGGCTTCGCGCACCTCCTCAGGCAGTATCGGGGCTGTGGTAATTATTTCAGTATGATAAGTAACCACTAGATGGCAGGAGTGGTTTTGATCATCAACAAAAAAAGCTCTCCAAATTTGAGAAAAACGTCTGGCACTGAATGAGTTCATTTGATTTCTGGTCTGCAAATTGTAATATGTTCACATGCTTGTTACCAAAAAACATGGTCAGATTAGAGTACCAACATCATCTAGTCAGCATAAAACTGAACAAGTTGCATCCAAGAAGTTGCCAGTACTGGCCCTGCAGTATCGCACATCACTAGTAATAACACAGTTCACCACTAGAGAGCAGAAATGACTTAATAGTATTTCGGTTCATCTATATTAGAGAATAATATTGATTGATTTGTTTTTAAGTCACTCTAACAGAGACTCTTCCAACAAGGAGAGGAAGGAGCATATACCTGTATTGTATGAGGCACACCTAAAAGCATAACATTTTCTCAAAAGGTGACAGTGCACCAAAATTGCAATGTGTCTTATATATTCTGTTTTCTTATACATAGTATTTCACACGTTCTGTAAAGCGCTTTGTTACAGCTGCAGTAGTTGTGAAGGCACTATGTCAATAAAGCTGTATTGTATTGTATTGTATTCCTTTAGCGTGACTCCATCTAGTGGACGCAGAACGCAACCGTAGCCACAATTGTAAATTCTATTCTATGTGCCTTATAATGCGGTGCACCCTATATATGAAAACAGTTTTAAAATAGAAGGTGCGCCTTACACTCCGTAGCGCCTTATAAATACGGTACGTCGTGCCTTATTCGCAACCTCTGATAACTTTTTTACATTTTGTCACCTTAGGCTGGGTGCACATAGGATTTTTCAAATCTTAAAAAAAAAAAAAAAAATACGTCTTTGGCAGACCCCACACATAAAGCTTGCCTCGGATTGGAGTTCATTGGGGCAAATTTCCTCGTCGGAGTTTGTCAAAGAACAAGCATTAAAAAGTGATGATTGTGAAATATTGCAAACAATATATACAAACAAATGTTTGAAAGCATTCTGTATCGTGCCAGAGAGATTTTCTTTTCTAGAGATTGAGACTTGTAAATACTTTTACCTTGGCCATGTCTTGTGAAGACACATGAAGCAATGCCGCTGACATCTTCTTTGCGGATGCAGGGGAAACGCACCTGCAGCTTCACCCCTGGTAAGGATATCACATGAAGGTCGCCTTGATTTGTCAAAACCACCAGGGCACTCTCGCAATAGTCCTCTGATTGGCTGCTGCCGAACCATGCCACGGCAACCCGCCGTACACGGGAGCCATCCATAGCTGTTAGCTTCAGCTTCATCTTGGCACTCACTTTAGGAAGGGTGAATACCTGTGCAAAAGAAAGTATCAGTTTGACACTTCAAGTAATTTCACTTCTCAAATGTTTCACCTCTAATCACCACTGGAACTGTCAATATTGCAAAATTTGGTGGAAACCCAATTCCAAGTAAATACAGAGCCAGTATCAGCAATAAAAATAGCATTGCCTTTTGGGTGCTTTTATCTGATCTCACCTTAAACTGTTCCTCAGATGTAACAACAAGGTGATGGGACCCCTGCATATCAGGCGAACGAGCAAGGTCATGGGCGACCTCCAGCGGCTCAGGGAGAGGAGTCCCGTGACCATCCAATACTACGAGGCCAACAATAGGGGCCCGATGCATGAGCTGGATTTCTTTTGCTGCAGAAGTAGGGGAAGAACACAGACAACACAAATTAGGCCGTCCAAGGATTTTGTGATCTCGTGACCACATCTTGGGGGTAGTATTTGTTTTCAGTCTTGCCATTTTGTTTCTGCTTCCCGGCCACGAAGATAAACTTTATTGTCACTGGTTGATATTTGCTGCGCATTTTTTTTCCCCCCAACCCAATTTCATGGGTTCATCGTTATATGTGTAGGTATGTCACAAAACTGAAAAAAATATATACACATTTATATATTTTCTAATTCCAACATTATTATTATTATACTAGGGTTACACAATGGTGGCTTATGAAAACAATGCAATTTACTGTATGCCGTGGCATCGGTTCCCCATCAGTGACGGTGTGATTGTGGCTGTCTGTCTCTATATGTATGACTGACTGGCAACCAGTTTAGAGGTTAGTGCGCTTTTTGCCCAAAGTCAGCTGGGACCGGCTCCAGTAACCCTCGTGACCCTCTTCAGGATAAGCGGTGTTGAAAATGGATGGATGAATTTACTGTATTAATGAAAAAACGAACAAAATTGATTTGCATGGCCCATTTGAAAAATCTATTTCCCACCTTTGACTTGCAGTATATGGAACCTTGTGATCAGCTAGCTTATTTAGCACAGTTCTCGAGGGCAGCGATCCGCATTTTATTCTTTCTTTGCACCTGGACTGCTTTCACGAAAGGACTTTTTTTGACGGACCGTCAAAGCTGTGGCGCAGCGTCACATATATGACGGCCCTTCTGCATGCATCAGATGACTGTAGCATTAGACAGCCAGTCTAGTTTAGCTAGCTGCCACAACCGCGGTCATTTTTGGAAAAAAAAACAAAACAAAACAAACAAAACAAAAAAATTGCATCCACTTACCAAACAGCAATTAATTGTGTCATCTTTTGATCATACACCCCTGCCAAACCGGCAATCCCCCCCACTCCCACCCAAATAAACACAACGTCACCCCCTGACCCCTGCGCGAATGATTGCCAGTCCGCGAAAAGCGGTACACAGCACTTGTTTAAACCAGTCCGTGTTACAAAAATAAAAAGGTTGAGGACCACTGCTCTATATATATATATATATACTGTTAGAATAGAAAAAGACAATGTTGTCATGTTTTAAAGTTTCATCTTGTTACATGCTTGAGTGACCTCGAAATGCTTGTGTTCAGAGCATCTTGCACACAATGGAAGCATAGTGTCAGAGAGATCAAGGGACCCGAGCAGATGGTACCTCACTATATCTCATTGAGAAAGAGTTAACTCTCACTAGTAGACACACTGGCGCCTGTTATCTGACAACTTGGAAACTAAGATTTAACCTTGGACGGAAGGGAGTGCTTGTACACTCCATCATGAGAAAGGGTCATGAGCCAGGTCACAGACGTGACAGTTCATGGAAATACCGCTTGCTAAAATGTCTACATTTCTGTTGGTTTATGGATGTTGGTGCTGGTACCAAGAGAATGCTTTGTCTGAGGGGCGACCCAATGGGGCCGTCCAGGGGTGCGGCATGTTAATAAAGATGGGAGTGTTTTTCTGATATATTCCTTGTAATTTGCATATACAGTCAATAAAAAGGCCGGCAGAGGTTGCAGAGGTTGGGTATCATTTGGGAAGCTCACACTGAGTGGCTTCATTGAAACTGCACCTCCTGCCGGCAGAGGATGACAATCTGTTCCTGTGTTCGAGCCTTTGTTGGCCGTCCGAGCGAACATCTCTGACAATAACATAGATAGCAATGCCATACCTGGGTTTTACTTTGAAGATGACTGTTGGAAACAATTGTTGCGGAGGGCTGACCGAACTTCAAATAGAGGCTGGCTTGACCGCAGTCAAGCTAACTGACTGACTGCAATATGCTTAGAACGCAAAAGCGCAATGACAGACTGGAGCGCAATATTCAATTTCTGGTGCTCATGCACACCAGCGCACCACCTCTGCGCACCCTTGACTGTAGTGATGACTATAGTGAAGCAGAGTGGACAGACAACTATGAACCCATTGTATCCCAAAATCTAATGCCTCACCAGGGTGTGCAGTGATGGGCTCATCTGTCCGATGCTCGACAGAAGGAAGCCGGAGTATGAATACATATACACAACCCCCATTGGTCCCCGCCCAAAGCGAAGGTGTATTATGTGAACCTAGAAGAAAAGAGGTGGATATAAGAAAAGGCATTTTTGTGTATTCAAATCACATGTTGAATTTGGTGACTCACTGTCTGAGAGGAAGGTGTCAGCAAAGTAAAGTATCCGCACCAGACCGGTAAAAGAGTCATCTGACGAACGAGCCTCAATCTTCCTTTGAACAGGAGCTAACTCCATCTCGGCTAGCTCCGCCTCCAAACGAGCATTTGCCTCCTGGAGCTTTTTGGTGGTGATGATAACAACAATCCAAAAAAAACAAAAATACAGAATATGTTAACACAGAATAGCTAAAGAGATGAGAAGTGGGAAACTTGAGTCACATGACTTGGACTCGAGTCGACCTATGTCGATAATTTGTTTCCTTGCGACTTACTGGGGAAAAAATTCGCATTGACTTTGATTTGGCATTCATGAGACTCGACTCGACTCTACTTTTACTTCAACTCCATAACTTGACAAGTGCTTCTGTTTACATTGGAAAATCTTTTTTTTTTTGTATTGCGCATGCCACCAATTTGGTAACTGCAGCAATGACAGCTACCATTATGCCCCAAGCCAAAGACAAGGGCGGAGGCCGACTCGTTTAGCAAGTGTGACAAGTTGGATTCAAGAATTATCATTTTGCTGAACCCGTGAAAAAAAAAAAAAAAAAAAAGAAAGCAATATGCAAGATTTGCCGTTCGATGATGTGAGACATCTACAAAGTTTAGTTTGATCTGCCAGACGCAAGGCAGTCAAGGAATCTGAACTATGAAGTTAAGCTAGCTAGGTTAGCTCAACAGTTTAGCTAGCAAATATGAACTCAACTTGATATCAGTTCAGCATTTAATTGAGAGGAAAATAAAGTGAAAGATTAGGCACCATGGTGAGTGTAACCTTGACACTATAGCATTAAAAAAACAGTCAATTTTTTTCAGCATTGACATCTATATATAGACTCCACTTTTCGTACTTTTCTGACCGTTAGCAGTTCCGCTATATTTGATGTGGCAGGGCTCCCGAAAACTATTGCACAATAACTGGATAGAACTTCATTAAGCTACAACCTACAAAGTTCACAAAGTTAAGGCATTCACCCTTTTACACACACTAATCGATTTGGGAAAAAGACTGGCACAAAAAAAAAAAAAAAAAAACATGGAGGTTTTAAATTTGATGATTAGACACGTTCAGCATATCTCAATATTTATCATCACAGTAACAGTGTGATACTCATACAAAAAATTCATCTCAATAATTGAAAAGTATGTTAATTTCATGTGTTAATTTTTTTTTAGATTTAAATCATTTAATTTTTAGAGATAATTTACATTTTTGTGTTATGATCCATAAAAAAATATTTTATCAATCCAATACATGCTGTGACTGAACAAGATTTTGTGACTTGACTTACGACTTGCTTGAGCTAAGTAACTACTTAACTTTTACTGGTGGTGATTTAACGTAACTTGCTTGACTTTTTTTTTTTTACCACAGCAACTTGGGACTTGCTCGAGACTTGGAACTTGTAATTACTCCCTTCATTTACTCTTATTAAGATAAGCAGTAATACTGTACCACAAAGACTAGTTGAATTTTTATTTATTTATTTATTTTTTACACTACCTTGGCAGCATTGTTGACTTGATGTTTCCGTAGTGAGACTCTGCTGTGCCTTATTCGTCTAAAGGACTGCCGGAGTGATTTTTTAATGCTTTTCACCCGAGACAGAGGACCCTCCATGGCCAGCTGGTCACTGGGGTTGAGAGTGCATCTAGAGAAAAAGCCATTTCACCACACATAGTTGACACAGACAAAAATACAGACATGAATAATATAACAACATGAAACAAATACAGATTTATAAGCTCCCTGATATTATGTAAGGCATAAAAATACATAATGCATGAAAAGAAAAAAAAACGATAACTGCAAGTCCCATAATATAGAAGCTATACGGTACCACTGCACTGTTGTCAGAGATGAAAGTGAACTTTCCTGAAAATTCCGGAAAAAATCGGGTCGGGCCTAAAATGTCAATCATTGCTGCGAGTTCGGGTCAGGCTTCTCTCTCGCTGACTTTTTTTTTTTTGAGGCCGTGAATAGTTTTGGCCACGAGAGACCGTGGTTTGCAAAAAACAGAAGCGGCGTCATCACAACACGTACTGTACTAAACTCTCGCAATGACAATTCAAAAAACTCCTTCACATCTTTATGATCCAGCCGTCATTGTTCTTTTTGGTCTCGCTGCTTCTGTCTCTTCAAGTGCCGCACACGATTCTTAAGGACATGCACCCTTTGTGGTTTCCGTTCTCGCCGAAATTTCGAAATCTCAGAGATATTGCGAGGCCATGAGAATGCGAGGCGAGGGTATTACTGTTGTGGCGACGCCACTCGAGCTCGTCCGCTGCTCTCTACTATGCGTGCGTCAGCACGAACATGTACGCAAGCGCGTCTTTTGATTTCAACCAATAAGCGCCGACGCAGCGACGTCACACACCCAACGTCACACACAACAACAGCTAAGCTAAGCGAGCCGAGACGACACTCAAAGTCGGACCGACACGTTTTTCTGCCAATCTGTGTGTTTCCCTTTTTGTCCAAATATATTTTTTACGACAACTGTCTTGTCCACGGTGTCTTTTATTCGTTCCACTGGGGTTTAGCAAATGTGTTGATAAAGAGACGAAAATCTCTACTGTTACTAGTGTTAGTGTCTCAACATGGCTACGCTCGTGAAAGCAAAACAACGAACTCAAACGCGTCTTCGTTCAATGTTGTCAACTAATATCCGGATTAATTTTAGGCAAATTTTCCTCAATTCTCCGGAGAGATCTTCATAAAAATGTGAAAAACCCGGAATTCCGGGAAAATCCGGAGGACTTTCATCTCTGTGTTGTGCATGACACAATCAGGCACAAATGATATTCTGTAATGGTAAAAATTTGATGGCTGGAGAGATATCGTTTGATTTCTACTTTCAGCACCCATCATTTTTATGACAATGGCTTTATAACTCGAAACATGTTTGAGTTCCCAAAGTGTCTCCTTACTTGATGAAGACATTGATTTTCTGTTGGTAATCAAATAATCCAAAGCCATGGCTGGTGCCATAAGCAACCAGCTTCCACTCGGAGTGAAGACAAAGAGCGGTGACCACGGCAGGAGGCTGACATTGCACAACAGTGAAGGGCTGGAAGCCTGCCTCAAAACGGACTGGCTCATCTCGAACATCAAGACGCGTGTGCCCCTAAAAACAACATTATGTATATGTGAGAGAGAGAGAGAGAGATCAAAGTTTATGGCCCAAAAATGTGGAGTCGGTATTGTATATTACATGCAGCAAATTAAGTAGCTCACTGCGAATAGCATTTCAGGTGAGGACACACCAAAACCCAGGTTCCCGAATATTGGGTGCATTCGGAAATACGCTACGAGAGTGCTGCTTCATGCAGACCGTTCCGAAACTCAGAGCATTGTTCAAATGGTAGGGAACACAGTTTAAAAAATACAAGTAGTTGTCAATGTAGAACTCAAGGTCATGACGTGACTGTAACAAGTGGCATCCCAATTAGTCCCTTCCAGATTTTTTGGGGCTCCGAAAACAATTTCAGAAATAACAGAAAGCAACAAGGAAACAGTGTGATTTGGAAACATTTCTCGATTTCAAAGTGACAGTGACTAGGGAACATTAGTTTCGTTGTCTGCTAGCTAGCTTACCATACTTAGCCTCTGTCTGTTCCCTTGGTTTTGAGATATTGAGAAAATAAGTGTGGTCAATAAATTCACTATTTTAGTCCATGTTTTATATCCGTCTGGATCTTTTTTGGGGTGGGGGGGCAATTGTGAAGAACCAATGGCGTTTTACAACTTTACTCTTTCCGTCTTTGGGTGAACTTGTTGCAGCTTTACAATAGTGTTTTTTATGCCAACGTTCAAGCCGCTGAATTCCATGAGAGCAGTTAAAAAACATGGCACAAAGCGCACCTGCCATTGTGCTACTTAAGGCTCAAAGCCTTTTAAACAATGCCTGCAAGCTTTAAGGCAATGGTTCTTAACCTTGTTAGAAGTACCGAACCCATATGCACATTCACCGAACCCTTCATTAGTGAAAAATAAAAATATCTTCTTTCTTTTTACAAATTCAAGACATTAAAAAAACACATTTATTAAAAACTAAATAACATTTCAAGACATAAGTATGCGTTGTTTTAATTGTGCACAAAATGAACCAGCCAGTGATGGCCAAGCGGGTGTGTCATAACAAACAGACATGTTGAGTGTGCCTTAACCTCCATGGCAGAGGCTCCGTCGAACCCCTGAGACCGAATCACCGAACCCAGGTTAAGAACCACTGCTTTAAAGTGTAAAGAAGTGAGGCATACACTAGCAGTCAAAATTTCAACGACCACTAGTTTGTTTGGTAGCCATTTTTTTTTTTTTTTACTGCACGAGAGCTGCACGTCATTTATTCTTAGTAACATTTTGAGAGAGAGGCATAAAGGGAAAAGGAAAGATAAAGGGGTCAAGCTAAGAGGAAGATTTGGGAATGGGCCTTGTCTGCCGACTGGCCAGGGAACTGTTAAAGTTGGTGCTGGATGGAAATGGATGGATTTTTTTTTTACACTTTAAAGGGAATTAAGATACAACCCTTTATTGTTGTGACTTAAATAAAAAATGTGTGAGCAATTTAAGATGATACACAGGTAATCATATACTTTGTCTCGAATCTGTATGTACTGTTCAAGGAGGAATAGGTAGTTTTGTGTATTGTAACCATATTGTTGATTACCTTCCAACGGAAACCTTCTTGGCCTTGCAGCAAATCCACAACTTTCGCTTCCACAGGATGTTCTGCTGCCTCGTCATTGAGCTCGAGCACAAGAATCTTCAAAGAGAATGGATTGAACTGGTCACATACAACAACAGGCTCAAACCGAAGCTTGGAACAAATTCTTTCAGTGCATTGGATGTCAATGGAGGTGTTTCTAAGTTCGAAAAACTTGGAACTGGCCAACATTGCACCTGATACCTATTTTGCCCCCAATGAGTAATTGGGGCGGCACAATGGTCGACTGGTGAGCACGTCCGCCTCACAGTGCAGAGGTGCAGGGTTCGAATCTGGCTCTGGCTTTCCTGTGTGGGGTTTGCATGCTCTCCTCATACCTGCTTGGGTATTGTGCAGGTACTCCGGTTTCCTCTCACATTCCAAAAGCATGTGTGGCTGGTTAATGGAACACTATAAATATTAAGTGTGCTAAATGAAAAGTACAGTGTTTGCTCTTCTAGTCTCTTCTTTTTTTTTTTAACCCTCCCACCCCAAGAAAAAAACTACATTGAATATTGTGTTGAACTGTGACGTTGGTGTTCTAAAAGAAATATGTCTCCAAACGCTATTCAGAGAATTACAGCCCACCCTCAACAAAAACCACAGAACGCTGGAGCAAAAACAAAAGAAATGCATTTTCGTTTTTGTCAGTGTATCTCCAAACATCACTCAGGCACTCAGATTCCCCTACCATGTTCGGGTAGTGATTGACAGAGTTTACCAATACAGCCTCAAAGTGAAATCTCACCTGTCCGGCTGTTCCTGCCACAGCAAGACAACCACTGTATTTACAAAGGTGGATCTTTTGGATGCCAAGCCTTGGATCATCGCTGTAGGGGTCAAAGCAGCCAACCTAGACAGTAAAAATGTAAACAGAATCATCAGACATTGTATGACAGTTGGAGATTAAATACAGTATGTCTACTTTGTTTAAGTTGTTTTCTTTATTTTAGATTCAGGTAAAATGAATGGAATGAAGAAAAGGAAGGAAGTCATGCTTTTCGACACACACCTTTCTGAAAGGTGGCCAATCTCCTTCAGCACCTTGATGCAAGTTGTCATTGGGGTCAGTGTCTGTGTGGAAGACTCCAGCTGTGCTCAATTTGTACATGGGGTACAGACAGACTCCTGAGGCATTCCATAACCGCACGGTTCCATCCTCGTGCCTAAACATAAAAGGCAAATGTGATACTGTTAAGAATTCAAGTGGATTTTGTTTTCGGGATTAAATATGGTTCACAAAAAGAAAAAAAGTTGAGGTGACCTGACCCTGTGAGCAAAAGATCTCTCTGTGGAGGATCTGGGGCCAAGTTCTTCCCTCCGGTTATCGGCCATGGCTGAATGGAGATAACATAGTGTTTCAGAGTTATTAGTCAGTTAATATATGTCAAATTATGTAATTGCTAATGGTTATTTATGGTCAGCTGTACAATTCATGCATAATCATACAAGCTCCATTTGTTCCTTTTTGTTTGTGGTCCGCTTTTCCTATGTTGTCGTTTATTTTTGTTTCTACACCTGACCTTCTTACGCTTGATTTTCACCTTCTTTGTCCACTGTTTATCCTCCTCTGGCCATGGTGTGCATTCAATCGGACTCATAGATTATCCTCTGCGGCCGCGAATCGTGGAGTTTCGCTCATTGGACGACCGTCCACAATCCGACGATATTTGCGTGTACACTATTGCTCATCTACGGCCAAAAGTTACTAAATGTGCTCCATCAATTTTTGTTTACTTTGAAAATATGGAGCAGTATTTTCCGGCCACTGTGATGATGCCTCACCGGTGGTCATGTGATGGTACGTTCAATTATAATTGGGTTGGTTATGTAGTTGAGGTACACATATAACACGGTAGCGTGTATGAGACAATCGCAGAGTGGACATTTCTCCTATTTACATTACTTTTTTGGATCTTAGGGAGCCAAAAATGAGTTGCCTTTTGGAACTTCTGACCTATCCTATCCACCGCCTGGGCCCTCCAATCGAAGAGCCTCAGTCGAGATAGATTCAGAATCAGAATCAGAATAGTGTTAGTGTCTTTTTACCACAGGGTGCAACGAAACTGAATACACATAACCTTGTCCAAAAAAAAAAAAAAAAACAAAAAAAAAAACAACCATGACCAACACACACAGAGAATGGGAGTCTGCCAGGTCTCATTTTCAGATAAAAAAGAAAAAAACGTGAGGGAACGGTAGTGGAAAAAACACCTCAGTTTAAAGCACAGAGCTGCCAACCGATAGAAATTCACTTCCTGGACAATTTATCTGAATTTTGATATTTTCAAAACCTCTGAGCCCTGCGACTGGCTGGCAGCCACTTCAGTGTGTAATCCGCCAACTGCCCTAAGACAGCTGGGATAGGCTTCAACACGCCCGCGACTCTCATAAGGATAAAGCGGTTCAGATAACGGATGGATGGCTCAAATATTCGGTCAAGAACATTAACGTGGGATGGTTATCAAAGTATCCATCCATTTTCTGATCTGCTTATCCTCACAAGGGTCAAGGGACGTGCCGGAGCCGATCCCAGCTGTCTTCGGGCAGTCGGTGGATACCCTGAACCAGTTGGCAGCCAATCGCAGTGCACACATAGACGAACAACCATCCTCGCTCAAACACACACACTCACACCGAACATTTTAGAGTGTTCCATTAACCTGTCGTGCATGTTTTTGGAATATGGGAGGAAACCGCAGTACTCAGAGGAAACCCACGCAGGCACGGGGTGAACATGCAAACTCCACACAGGAAGGCCGCAGCCGGAATTCAACCCTGCACTGTGAGGCCGAGATGCTAAATTGTCGATCACGGACCGCCCGGTTATCACAGTATAAATAACATATATAACAATGGACATCCACTCACACATTCATGCACATACACTTTTTTTTAAGAAAAGGTATTTTCAGAGACTGACAGAAAAAAATAAAATAAAATTTAAGATTCCATATATCACTCAGCATTAGCTACGCTTCAACGAGACGGGATCTTCCAACATGTATTACGACAGTGAAGACACAGGCGCCATACAGTGTCATACCATTGTTATTCGATGATGAATTAAGTTTTCGTGAGCGCACTGTTGAGGGTGGGAAGAGATATGGTTGTGTATTGTGTTATCATATGAATGCGTTGGTCTGGGTCAGTATCCTGTGTCTCAATGGCAAAGCAAAAACCTCATTTTGTTGCCATGGAGACAAACTTGGGTGGCTCCCATCCCAAATAATAGTTGTTTTGGGAACGGGCAGGCAACAATTTCAATTATCTTTGAGTTTTCCACTGGCGCTCCTGATGGACATCAATTGGTCGAATGAGCGATCGATTATTTGTGACGAGTCGTCAACTGTCAACCACGTTGGAATCCAACATGCAAAGTGTCTCAGAAATCGCATTCAACCTGATTCGCTTGAGTATAGGTGTTCATCAGCTGCCACAAACCGTCAAGCGTGTTCGGCACAATGCTCCTTTCCGAAAAAGCTTCTCGCATCTTCTAAATATGTTATAAATTGCCAACTGCCAGCTTGCTGCTCCTCTGATCGAGAAAATTTGATCAAATTAGGTGGTGGGACTCTAATTCGCGGATTTTCGTCTTCGCGGGGCGTTCTGGTCCCAATTAACCGCGATAAGTGAAGGATCACCGTATGCATTACCTGCAGGACGGGAGAGGAACAGCATCAAAAGGGTTAAACTGATTGTACCTTTTTGGAGTAATTTGTCTTCTGGAGCTCTCCAGCGGCGAGAACTCTCTCCCACAGTTTGAGAGGGATGGCAGAGACATGGTGTGAGCAGGTGATTGCTGAACTGTGTAGTGGAACCAGGTAAGGTGTCTGAATGACTGGCCATCCTTCTGACTTGAGGTCAATCACCCCCAACTCCTCTTCAACCAAGACCACTAATGCGCTGGGATCCCCTGGTCAAGACAAGTGATCATGGGAAATACATGCAATTAATTAGCATGCAAAAAAAAAACTCCAAAAAAACATCCCGTCTCAATACTTGAGACCGTTGAAGACCTTGATATTAAACGCTCAGGAGCAAAACTGGCTCCATCATGATCATGCACAGTATGAAATCTTCAGAAGAGTTAAAATTATGAAATTGGGCGTTTCTGTACTTTTACCGACCAGTGCGAAGTTGTCCATCTTTGATGATAAAGAAGTCAATGATCCTGGAAGTGAAGTCCAAAGCAACGTGTGTTTTATTGTGGATGACAGTAATGCAGTGTCTGTCCCCAAAGCTTGCCCTGGGCATGCCGCCACTGAAGAAGAGGAATGGCGCCCTATAAAAATGAACACACGTCAGGAATGATTCCAGAGATGGATAAGAATAACTTTCAACTTGAACACATTTCAAATGTCCTTATGATGGCCAACTGGCCTACTTCATGGGATGATGAACATGTTTTTATTTGCCATTAAAATGCTGAATGACAATTTTATTTGAACAAGAGTCTTTACTATTATTGGTGAAATTATATGAAAATAAAGGAAAAAATGTTTTTCTTTTAATTCCGCCTTAGGTTTTATGCATGTAAATGTATCCCATGATGAAACAACCACACTAATTATCAATGACTTAAAATTTTAGGGATTCATAGATATACTGTCCATACATATATTAGGGGTGAAACTGAAACGAGTCTTTGAGTAATTCACGTACATTGATTCAAAATATCCTCAAGGATTTTTTTTTCTGCCTGCATTGCAAAGGCCAAATTTAAAATAAAAATCGACCAAATAATACAATGCCACGGTAGGCTCTCTGCGGCCAAAATTCCTCCAGCGGGTGAGGCAAGTCCTAAGAAGCCAGCTCAATGGCAAGAATAAGACCCGGGCAATAAACAGCTATGCCCTGCCAGTGATCAGATACCCTGCAGGAATAATAAGGTGGCCAAAGGAAGAGATTCAGACCACGGACGTTAAGACCCGAAAGCTCCTAACCATGCATGGAGGGTTCCATCCCAAATCCAGCACCCTGAGACTGTAGGCAAGCCGAAAGGAAGGAGGCCGGGGACTAGTGAGTGTGAGAGCCACTGTCCAGGATGAAACATCCAAGCTCCATGAATACATCAAGGAGAAGGCTCCAATGGATGACGTCCTCAGAGAATGTCTCAGACAATGGGGAACAGAGGATGAGATGCTGGAAGAGGGACCATCATGGGAGGACAAGCCCC